ACCTTAAATGTGCTTAAAATAACATCTACCAACATCCAAAAGTCAAAATTTGAAAAAAAAAAAATCAATAACGGCTCTGAAAATTGACTGTTTTTGAACTTTTTAAACACTCTTTATATTAATTGCTAAGAAATTTGTGGTGGCACGTAAGGCGTAAAAAAGAGCAGTGTTTCTCAAATCATATCTCGTTCATCTCGATGAAAGAGATATGAGTAGTATTTTTGTTATCTAAACCGTATATTATGAAATTTTTTTTAATTTTCAGTAAAAAGTAAAAACAGATATTTTATTGACGCATAGATTTAAATTGAAAATGTATTCATTTGCCGTCAAAACGAAATAGTTTTTAGCATTTTCTGCTGTTGTTGTCGTTGTAACTGCTCTTGTTTGTACACATGTTTGGAATACGAAAATATTTCGGTGAAAAACAATTTTTTTCTACTGACAAGCCGGGTTTGATATTATCCTGATGTAGGTATCAGTAATTATTATAATATACTTAACCTAACTATAACCTGTCGTTAAGTGATGAATTTGACCACTTAACGTGTCCCCTTGTTTAAGGTAGCCGCCTTGAGCACCAACAACATGATTGTATAACCCGTACAGTGGTTACAAAAAACACTTATATTCACCGGTTAAAAGATGCCAATGAAGTGAATGCGCTCTTCTCGAGAAGCCGTATACCTTTTACCTTTAAGCAAAAACATACTCAAATATGCCATTTAGCCCTCCCTGAAGAGATATTGAACTTTTGCATTGGTGAAAAATACAAAATACCAAATCTATATTCAACAGATACCTAATATTGATCGGCACATTACTGCTTAGAATTATATATTAAGATCTTCGTTAAGCTCGATCAATATTTTCACGATTTTATAAAATATCAAAAATGTAATACAGCAAAAAAAAATGTATATATATTGTAGTTTTTCACGATATTTTAAAAACATTTTAACATCATGTTTTGGAACGGTTTTAAATGCTTCAAAAATATTATTTACAAAATAATTTTAAGGTATTATGAAAAATATAACATTAAATAATATTAGTATGGTAATATCCAAAATAATGATTTCCGTTGGTGTATGACCAATAGGTACATAATGAGGTGATTATAAAAATCCTTAATATCATTTTGTATTGACCTTATTTTGAAACAAAAATGTTTTTACAATAGATGCATACTTTATCAAAGTTTTCAAATTTTAAATTTATAGAGGTATCGATTATTTATCAAAAGTTCAACTTAATTAACAATTTTTTCGCTTGTATAAAAAAAGTTTTTTTTTAATTTCAATATTTACTTGATTGAAATATACTAATATTAACAATGCCCTAATAGACTTATGAGGGAATCTTAATAGGGAATAGGAAGCCGTGTAATAGTTTTTTTGGAAAATGATTTTCTATTTTTTTATGTAAAATAATTGTACTTAATATTGAAACATTTCAAATTTAATTTACATTAATGGCACTTTTTAAATGGAAAACGGTTTCTATAAACCGGTAAAATAACCAATATGTTCCTATCGTTTTACAGAATCAAATTAACCTGAAAATAAATTAACACAATCACAATTTAAAATGGAAGAATTGGGTTAAAATATGTTATTCTTAATATCACTGTTTATAATAATTGTATGTGTAATTATGTTTAGGGGATGTTTTCTGAATTTAAAAATATAATCGAAGATGACAACAGAGATTATATAAACTTGACTGATCTGTTTGATTACTACCCAGAATATACTAATTCTCGACTAAGTCAGATTATGAATATGTACGGTGAAAAACCTGAAGGTGAATATTATTTTTAATAACTTTACTTAATAATCGTTAGCTCAGAAGAATGTAGTTTTACAGTATTGTAAACTCATATTACTTGGTTTATTATTTTAATTTAAATATTAAACTTTCTCGACTCAACCCGACCTCGCCTAACAGATGATCAACTTCACTAATTTTCATAAGTAACTCCTCTCTTTTAAGAACCACTTACAAACAAATTAACTAGAAATTACCTAATTCAAATACTGGCCACTCAAAATCATCAAAACTGTTAATGGCCTAAACTCTTATGATATAGTTTTTATAATTCCCTGAATTGACATATGTTATGAAGCAATAAATCATTTTATTATTAATTATTTTAAGTAATTTGTATATTTTGTTTATGTTATGTTGATGATTTTCAGGTTATGGACAGAGTAGCTTATACTTTGGTGGCTTTAGCAAAGCCGTGAACCTTGATTATCTTTCAAAGCCCAAAGACACGCATTGCGAATGCGAATCACCGTAGGTCACCGATAAAATGTAATTTAAAAATAACCAGTAATATGATATAAAAATTACTAACTGTAATACAAATTAATAAACACTTTTTTGTCATAATTCCTCGCCATAATAATTATAAAATTTTGTCCAATTCTTATTTGGACACTATCATTCAATTCAATAAAAATAATATATATAATATTTATTATCTTTTTTTTTTAAGACTTAAGTCCGACACCAGTATTCTTTTTTTATATAGTTATTCATATTATTATTGTATAAGGGCTGGGCCCCGTTTACATGTATATGCGTATTTGTATATTTTTATAGTAGGTTTGAGTTGAAAATCTATTCTTTAGCCGTTCAAAGGAAATTGTTTTTGTGGTTTTCTGCGGTTGTTGTCGTTGTAACTGTTCTTATTTGTACAGATGTTTGGAACACGAAAATATTTCAGTGAAAAGCATTTTTTTTTTGTTCGATTAAGTCCATATACTATATATTTTTGTAGCGTATAATAATACGCTACAAAAAAACGAACACAGTATTCAATGTATTTTAAATAATATATAAGAAATAAGATAGTTTTTTCGACTTTACTATGAATTATTACCTATTTTTTGTTGTTCTAAGCGTTTCTCAATAGAGATTCCAATTTGAAATTTACACATAAAGTGTATACGATAATAAAGAGGCGTCAAGACGAAAACACAAAATACTTTTTATGACCTAAATAACGGGGGGAAAATACAAAAAAATTTGAGGACATTTTTTATCGACCTAACAGACTTGCACTGTTTAAAAAAAAAATCGTGAATATCCTATTCGTTTAAAACAAACTCTTACAAATACATACTATAATTTCGTCTTTGAAAACAACATAACAGACTCATTTCATTTAAAATACTGCCATAATTAGCTGGGAAACATGATTTTACTTAATTATACACTTTCATCACAACACATGTGTCATGTAGGTTAGATGTTGTGTAATTTTTCAAATGTGTAACATGTAACGATAAACATAGTAGGTATACATGTTTGTCGTATACACTGTATCACTAATACCAATGTTAAGGTTTCCAACCTAGCAAAGTCTACACACTTAATTTACTAACAAACCGGGTTTCAAACAAACATTTTTTCAAAAGGACAGGCTACAAAATTACCATTATTTTCCGAGAAAATGAGTGTCTTACAATAAATTCACTGATAAATGTCTGTTTATGATTAGTTTTTGAATCATATACCTAAATATAATACATTTATTTAAAACAAATATAAGTAATGAGGATTTTATTATAATAAATGCTAAAACCTGACCTTTATAACTTGGAATTTTTTAGCAGAAAAAAAGATATAATTTCAAAAAAAAAAATGTCTATTCTTCCTTGCACCTCTGGCAAAGTGATGTGTTTGACCACTTAAGGTGTTCCCTAGTTAAAGGTAGCTGCCTTGAGCACCAACATAATATGGTTGTACATTAGAGGTATACTTTGGCAATACACGCTGAGTAAGAATATACTATAATAATAGTAAAAATAACATTATGTTATTGCTATCCCTGTTTTTTATTTGGGAACGCCATCCGCTTATTCCACGTATAGCCGTATTATAGAAGGGGCAAGAGCTATATTATTAAAACATTTGTGTGATTATCTATTATTATTTTTCACATTTGACCGCATTTGAACGTGTAAGAAAGATTTTTTAAGCGATTTAGTAAGTAAGTTTTCATTTTATGAAATAATTATTAGAATTTGGTTTATAGTATAAGCACTGCGTTCGTATTAGGGTTAGTTTTGCCATTTATTGTTTTCAGTGGAGGCCCGTCATAGGAGAATTTGAAACTGAGTAACCCCTTAAAAATCTTTAGCTACTAATAATTATTATATTAATAATAATAAATAATATGGACGTTTTCCCGAACTACAAAGTATATCCAATATATTTTATTGTGTTTTATTGGGTTTCGAACCCCCAACCCTCTAGCTTTACAGTTAGACAGTTGAGCAACTAAGTCACCTAGGCTATATACTTGATATAACTAGGTACCTATTATAGTGTTTTTAAACATGAATAATTTTCAAAACGTATTAATACAATTTGTTTTTAACATAAAAACACATTATTATGGTGGTAACAGATTGTAATAAAAAAATGATAAGAATACCCTAATATTATTATTATTTTTTGTGTTTAAAATTCGATAAAAAACAATATTTTTTTTTTAAAAGCCTGAAATTAAAAAATGCTAGAGGTCACGGATTTTCCCTTCCGCAATACCTAGTGCCGGCACTGCTTATATTTATCGGTACAATACTAGTTTTTATGACATACATCGGTTGAAAAAAACAAGTAAGAAATCATCGCAAAACAAATAGGTGTCTTATATTGGTACAAGTGTCCCTTCAGCGGTTAACGTTGTCGCTTATACTTGTACTCCGATGAAGAATATATTATTGAAAGCGTTCGCAAAATATGCAAAACACAAGAAAATTGTTTCGATACCTATACTCTTTAGGCCCATATTAAGCTTGAAAAGGTAAAAAAAAACAACAACTTGTTTTCAACTCGATACACTACTCTAAGTCAATATCGAACGATGAAAACATGTTGTTATTCTAAAGGTTTTTTTTTTAGATTGAATAGCGTAGTAGTTTTTCTTTAAATTTTCTTTACAAACAGTTTACTACACAGCAGGCTACGACTTAGCATAACAATAATTTGTGTGATAGCTACTCTTCAGTCAAGTCCGGTTGATTTTTCAAGTTAGTAAGCTTATCAATAAGAACAATGTTTTTTATAAAAATGGAAGTAAAGTACATCATCATAACAATGTGTATATTATATTCTATTGCGATGGAAAACACTCTCGATGACGAGGTAACTATAATTTTTTCAACAATTACTTTTTGAACAAATAAAAAAATAATAATTTAATTATTATATTATTTTTATACTTTTAGGAAATAATGCATCTATGGAATACTTATGGTAAGGCGAGACTAAGATTACATTATCGTGATGCCATTTTCCTTTATTAATACATTCATTATATTAATAAAAATAATTTCAAAAAAAGCCAAGTCGAGGCGTAGTGAGGCGGGGAGGTAACATGATAAAATCACATTCCAATAAACGCTTCATAGGGGAGAATGGTTAATGTAGAATATTCTATAAAATTTTGGACCTAATTTGTAAATCATTTTAAAAAGTCATAAGCGTAATTTTAAGTTGAAAAATATGTAATTTGGAAGATATTGTCAAAATAAAATCACATCATTATAAAAACAATAGTTACCTTCTCAGCTATGCATACCTAAACGAATGTAAATTATATTATATATTAATTAGTGATATGCTTTACGAAAGTTAACAAAAATATAATATCATATTTTTAAAAAAAAAAAATGTTTACACTTTTTTTCTATGGTGGTTTCTAGAAACAGAATACGGAAAGAACTTCGACAATTTTAAGATAGACGCGAAAAATGGCCTCATACCAAGTTTGCAGCAACCTGTAATATGTTTAAATTATTATGTTATTTCGGGTATTTAGTGTAATTTTTTAAAGGTCTATAGACTTTTGAAATCTAAACGGTAACATAATGAATATAATTTACTCACCAGCTCCGAATGATTACTGGGGTTATAGGCCAGTTAAATGTTTCAACTAATTATTTTTATTTAAAAAAAAATAACTAAATATTTCGACTAGCCAAAATTCTTAAAACAAAAGCTGTACGTTTTTATTTAAGTAAATTAGGTAAATTCTATAATATTCAAAACTAATGAAATCGTTAAGTCTACGAGTGCTTAATTTTGATTTACCGATGTTGCCTAGTCAGTGTAACAGTTGGTAGTACTGCTTAGTACTCTAGTACTACTTAAAACTTAATCTCTTATCTCTTATCAGATAAATCATTAAAAATTATCGTTATGATAAAAACTGTCGAATTTTCCGGTTGTGTGCCAAATATTTTTAAAATACTAGATTTACTATAATCTACTTATGTAAGTTATTCTTTTTTTAAACTGAAATTAAAATTATGTACACTTAAAATTTCTTTTTTAGGAAATTGATAATCTATTTAACGCGATCAAATCTGCAGATAAAGAATATGTTACCTTCAGCGACTTAAGTAAATATTATGGAGTTGACACAGATGAACTCTTGGACATGTTACAAAAACACGGAACCGTATGTCAGGCTGATCCTTTACCAGGTGAACTATTAATGAAAATAATAAAACAAATTATTTAATTATGTATATTAAATATTAGTAGACTTTACGATAGTTAACTGTTGTGTATTTTTTTGTACACCCACATATTAAATATACAATTTTATAATGCAAACAAATTATATATTTTTAAAAAAAGGTTATTTAATTTTCTCATTATGATCTGGTGATTTTTAGTTAGACAAGAATACAAAATGGATCTTAAACAGTTTACAGAGGCCATGAAACTAGGCATCGTACCAAAATTCTCTGTAGGTTTAATTTTAAAATTATTATCTTATTTCTGATAAATGTTGATTCCTATAAATAATAACATACATTAAATAAAGATGTATCGTTACAATTTTATTCGGTCTACCTCTACTTCTCATTAAGTAAATTATTATTTTTATAATTTTAAACTGAAATTAAAGTTATATATACTTATCATTTTTTTTTTTATCAGGATATTAATTATTTATATAACTTAATAAAAACATCTGAATATAGAGAATATATTACCTTCACCGAGTTACGAAATTTTTATCAAAAGTTTTGTCCAAATTATGACACAGATGAACTCTACCGCAAAATGCAAGACCACGGAACCCAATGTGAAGCTGAACCTGGACCAGGTGAACTATTAATGAAATGAAAAAAAAAATGTTGAATTATGTATAATAAATTTTAGTAAGCTTCGCGATAGTTAACACTTAACTTCTGTGTATTTATTTATACAGGCATATATTAAATCTAAAATTTATATTACAAAGAAATTATATTATATTCTAAAATAAAAGATGAGTTTAATTTTCTCCTTATGATGTGGTGTTTTTCAGTTAGAAAAATATACAAAATGGATATAGGACAGTTTAGAAAGGTCGTGAATCTAGGCCTCGTACCAAGATGTGCTGTAGGTTTAATTTTAAAATTATTATCTTATTTCTGATAAATCTTGTTTTCCAAAAATAATAACATACATATTATATATATATATTGTATCTATTAATAAATAGGAATTGTTAATGAAAAATTGACATAGCTGCTTAAAATTCATTTTGAACATTTAAGACCATAAAGTCTGACTAAATCTTGATTTCTCAGGATGGTGCGATTTCAATTCTGTAAAATTTACTAGTCTTTGGCTACTTTACTTACAGTTATGTAGGAAACGTTTTTTTTTTTTTTTATTAATAGAAAATAATTGTATTTTATATTGAAACAATTTTTAATTTACTTTATTTAAATGGCATTTCCTCTTCATGCATATTTGGATTGTTAATATAATAATATAAAATATAGCTAATTTATAATGGTAGAATTGGGTTAAAATATTTTATTCTTAAATGCCACTGTTCATAATAATTTTTTATGTAATAATGTTTAGGGGTTGTATGATGTATTTAGAGGAATAATCGGAGGTGATAGAAGAGACTATTTATACCTCAGCGATATGATTGCACACTACGGAACAGATTACGATCATAATATTTTTTCACTGGATCATATTATAAAAAAGTATGGAGTACCTAAAGGTGAATATGATTTTTTTAATAACTGTACTTAATTATTGTAAAATCATTTTCGATGTAAGCATAGTTTTAGCCAAAAAATTGTAGTTTTACTGTATTGTAATCTTAAATTACTTGGTTTATTATTTTTATTTAATCTAAAACTTTCTCGACCCAACCCGACCACGCCTAACAGATAATCAACTATATTAATTTTCATAAGTAACTCCTCTCTTTCCGCTTACAAAAAAATTAACTAGAAATTACCTAATTCAAATACTGGCCACTCAAAATCATCAAAACAGTTAATGGCCTAAACTCTTATGATATCTTTTATAATTCCCTGAATTGACATATGTTATGAAGCAACAAATAATTTTATTATTAATTATTTTAAGTTATTTGTATATTTTATTTATGTTATGTTGATGATTTTCAGGTAACGGACAGAGATTATACTTTGATGGCTTTAGCAAAGCCATGAGCCTTAATTATCTTCCAAAACCGCGGATACTACAACACCAAAGGTGATCGGATGGTAGTCACCGATAAGATGCAATTTTAAGATAAACAGTATAATGATAACCAAAATTACTAAATTGTCATAAAAATTAATAATTTGCTTATTATTTTGTCGCCATAATAATTATAATATGCTGTCTAATTCTTATTTGGACACTGTCTTTCAATTCAATAAAAATTATATATATATATAATATTTATTATCTTTTTTTTTTTTTGTTAAGTCCGATACTAGTATACATTTTTTTTTTTTAAGTCATTATTATTATTGTATACGGGCTAGGCCCTGTTTACATGTATATGAGTATTTGTAAATTTTTAAACAAAAATGTAAACATCAACTAAAAAATTAATCCTAACATCAAAATCTGACTTAAAAATTTAAATTTGTATCCACACTGGCGCTCGACATTAATCGCCTTAAGGTTTGTTTGCTAAGTCTTATTGCTGTATAGCCAAATTTTGCTCTCTGAATAGCGATAACAATAATTTTTATAGTAAAAACACTTAGTTTTGACTAATTAATTTTATATATTACAAAAATATAAATATATATTTTCCTGTTGGGGATATATTTTTAACCGCTAAACTGACTTTCTCGTATAACAATTCTTTGGATCAGAAATCGTACCAGAAAGTACTTATTAAGGTGCCTAAGCTAAGTACTTAATAAGGTCAAAAATGGAAAGAATTTACACATAGACGCATCATTTCTTAAAAAATATAAAATTACTACCCAAGAAAAATGCATTTGACTGATTACATAGTTGATCAATTTTGTTTTCATTTTAGTGTTAATAGTTCTAATTGCACGATTTAAGATAATATGATTGGCGAACAAGCAATAAAAAAGCGACCACAAAAGTGTACTAGTTGCTTTTAGTATAGATAAACTAATTTACTGCAGACTGCTTATCTGTTTTTTTTATAATTATATGTAAAATTAGTATACCTCTAGAAATGTAATTAAATACTATAAATTATACATAAGTATACATAGTATATAGATAGATTCTATATAATATATACTATACAATTATACTAGATATAAATAATTTTTAGTGTTTAATATAGTAACTACTAAATTATATGTAATAACATGAATACATATTATACATTTTGTAATTTCCAAAATTTGAATTTGGCGCGCTAATAATATGTCAAAAAGATTTGGTAGTTGCAAAATTCAACTAACAGAGAGCGCCACAGAGCTGTCTGATTTACTATGATAAAGCCCCGGACACTGATAAAAAATGAACACGGTCAAGATACTTATCACGCAAAACCGTGGCGGCCATCTTCTTATTTTTAGTTGTGTATATATATAACACACGATACTATCTAGGTCCTTACAAAATGGTCATCACCGTTTTTTGCTTACTTTCAAAGTTACCCTTCTGGTTTTAGTGCCAAGAGGCATGGGTACTTTAGTGGACTATATTGCCGCCGGGCAACTATATTATCTTTGATCGTGTGTAATAATCAATGTGGATCTATTATAAAATATAATCCTATTTGTCATGTGATTACCCGCTTACAAATGTTTAGTGGTTCGCTGGTCAATTTTAATTTATTATTATTATTATGAGTTATGAACGGTGGAAAATCTTGTTTTATCGTCTTCGAAATAATGTGCGACACGGCCTAATTGGACAATGTTAACAGCTGCTGCTGCTGCTAGTAGTAATAACAGCTAAACCTAGTCGATAGACGATAATAAATATTGTGTTGGGAAATAAAAACGGAATGCTAACTTGACGCGTCTAATCACGGTTGTCGTCGCCGCCGCACATTTGGGACTCCCTGTAACCCAATTTAGTTGTGTTATCAATGAAAACAAACAAAACACAAAAAAGCTTGAATAATAAATTATTATTATTATTGTTTTTGTTCGTGGCTGTTGTACGCAATACCGAGCGACCGAGATATATTTATAATTTTTTTTTTCGCTCTTCTTTTCGTACACTCAGTCCCAACGCCTACATCCGTGCTTTTTTTTTCTAAAATAGCCACGTACATCTGTCGCCAATGACACAGATCACTTCTGGGTAAGTCGATGAACAGCTGCAGACCAACGCTTTATTTTATTATAATAATAAATTCAATAACAATGTACCATACCTAGCTACCAAAACGCCAATCGTTGTTTCCTTCTGTCGTAAACAATAATTATTATGTTACCCATTCTCATCGACACCTACGTGAATGCGTGGCAACTGGCTGGTAGTTGATAAGATTGAAATCACTTTTCGCTTGCTTTTTCTATTTCAGGTATTTATTTTCATCTTTACCATAGTTCGGCCCTCCAATTTCGAGTTCACATGTTTCTATTGCCAATAAATGTCGTCCGCTGTACACACTGTACAATTGCATCGGTTTTCTTCTTATAATTTAGACAAAATCTGTTTGTACATATCATAGACTATCATAGACTGACTCTTGTTAACACTTCAATATTTTTTGGAAATTTGTTTTCTATGCAGATATCGTTTTACACTATTAATATTCAGTATACATTTCTTATTGTAAAAATTGGCACAGCGCATTATTGACATATTATACATTTTGAACAAGTTTCTCCTTGTAGGTAATGTTTTTGAGTTACGACTTGGTGGTGAATGCTGTCGATAGTATCATTATTGCCGAAGTATACTGTGTACAATGTTTATAAGTGCGCCCTTAAGAGGGGTCGAGGCACATTATTAGTACTCGATTTTATTTTTTAATCGTAAAAAAATTATTTAATACTATAATTTTAGTGCGAACACTACATCGAATATGGGGCGTCGATTAGCCGGGTCATCGGCTAGAGCTCGTGACACTCAACCACTGCCGTTAGCTCCACAGCATAACTCATCCTCGGCTGACAGAAGTGCTATATCACAACATGACGAGCTTATACATTTTGTAGGAGATTGTAAGTATAAAAATGTATTTAACTCTAAAAAATACGATAAATTAATTAATAATTTCTAAGATAAAGAAAAAAACTAATATGTGTGGTATATTAAAAATCAGTGTAATCGTCTGAATACATTTTTATTATATTTGAAGTAGCTAAAATATTTTTGTTAATTGACAACCAAGGTTATAGCTGTCTTTGATTTTTTTTATTGTAATAGTCGTAAACGACACTAACGTGACAATCGTCCATACCATTTCTGTATTTCACATTAAATTAAAACTGTAATCAAGTACAAAAATGGTATAGTCTGTCTATAATATAATTTAAATTGATGTTACTAGTTAGATGCCAAAGTTTCTCTACATTTCAATGGCTACATTGTCGACACTTAATATTATAAACAGTTTTATTAATTAAAATAAAAATCCCCTCGACATTTAAAAATAGATACTGCTTAGTAGGCAAAATTTGTCTATTACTTGTTTACGGTAGAAATATATAATGTAACATTTTAAACTTGTTTTAGCTTGGAATGTAGTATACCAAGAGTATCAAAATGGATCACAAGGAAACAATGGTAAGTTTGTTTGGTATCTTATTGTACAAACATTTAACCACTTAAATCATCAAGAAAGTCTTAATTAAAGATGTTCTTTATATTTTTAGTTAACTAGAGAATAAATAAAACATATTTATGCTGTCATTCTGTTACGAGCTTTTGTTTTATAATCATAAATTTATTTCAGGTCGTTTCCATATACAATTTTACGAAGAAGGACATAGTGACAAATTAAAAGGTACGCATATATTTTTATTAATTATAATTGCATTTATTATTAACTTTGACGTAAATTGTACACATTTAAATTCAGGCCGCTACTTACAGTTTTGTTCTAATTTCACAACTATTATTTAATATTATAATCACGAGGAGTTGGTTTTATAAAAAACAAAATATATTGAAATATATGTATAGACAAAAAATCGTTTTCTCCTAGGAATAGTAGGAACTTTTCTTTTTATGTGCTGATTTTTTTTTTAAATTAAACAACATTATTAGGATTTCAAATACTATTAGCGTGTACTCAAATTATTCAAATTGTGTTATAATATTTTAATTGAAAATCTATTTATTTTAGGATTTAAGCCTTTTGACCTTGAAGCTTGGTGGGGAAAACAAACAATTCAACGCTACCAGCAACGTTCCTAACACAATTCTATTAATATGATGTGCGTTCTTATTAAAAAAAAAATCCCTATTTATTTAATTATTGTTCAATCATAACTTTTTTTCTGTTGAAAATACTTTTCAAATCGGTTCTATTCAATTACAATTAAAAGTTAAAATTAAAAAAAAGGATATAAACTCTTCTAATTTTCATTTTTATCATGTTCAAAAAATGAATGTTAGTATTTGGAAAAAAAACTATTACAATAAATAAGTATTATTTTATTTTATTATAATTTAATCTACTCTTATTATTATTATTTTTTTTTATTATATAATTAACAAAATTTATTTACATATATATAATATAAATGTATACATACAATTTACTAATGTGTGTATGTACTTATTAATATATTTGACATTCCATTTTGTAAAACGTAAAGGTCTGTATATTTTTTTTATATTTTATGTTTACTTTATTTAGTATGAAATAAATTACTTGAAATCCCATTTTTATGCAGACTATGTTATACAAAAGATTTTTCATTTAAAAAAAAAAGAAGTTTTGAACAGCAATTAAAATATTTATAAAGCATCTATACTAGTATTAATAAATATGCAAAATTAAGTATTTACTTTATTCTCTTAAGATACAATTTTATTTTATTATTTACTAACACTGTTATTGTTCCATAAGGTACTTGTAGAATGTTGAAATTATCAAATACCTTTTTGTAAATTATTATTTTAAAGTAATACACAAATGACTCTATTATGGGTAATTTATTCTTAACAAATTGTACCAAATATATATTATATTATATTATTATTATTTTAGGTTATCTTTCCTTTTTTTTTTTTTTAAATATAATATTTTTTATTGAAGTGTATTTTTTTGATTATCTCATTGCTTTTCATAATAAGTCTAACAGAACCTGATCTTTTGGTCTAAACTCTAAATCCAATATAAAACTGGTGGAAAGTGTAGCTTCATGTTTGTAATTATTTTATTTGAGAACCGCAATGGGTTGGTAGGTAACTACTATTTTATAAAATTATAATTATAACGAAAGAAGATTTTGTAACCTTTTCTGATTTGTAAGTAACTAGTTTTTTTTTAAGAGAATAATAAATGTTAAATTGAACAAAAATATTTAGAAAGACTGACCTTTGCCAAAAAAAAAAAACATACACTTGTAATTGATATTACTCAAGTCGTAGATGGTAATTACAAAATCAAATATCCTTGTAGGTACGGCGATTGGACCAAAGCCAAAATACAAAGTCGAATGTTATTTTCGTTCAAATTTTGGCGTTAAATTTTTAATTATAGATTAAGAATAAATATATTTATATTATTACCTCAAAATTTATCTTGTTCTGGAATAATTATGTTATGTACTGCGTTAAAATAAAAAATAGCTTAGTCGAAGCAAGTACTGTGAATACGTTGTTATCACAGTTATCATGCTATTATTTTTCACTAATTTATTTTGGACTTAAAAATGGTCTGGCAGCGTTAAAATGTATATACCTATTATTTAAACACAAAAATGAATGTCATGAAAATGTACTATCGGTTAATAGCGTTGAAAATGTTAGTTTGTTGAACAATAGCTAACTATAATTTTAAAAAAAATATTAGCACTCTTTAATTTTTCAAAAGACCGAAGTCAAATCTTCTAACATGTGGTAAATCAGCAACCAAATTATCAATTACAAAAAGTCCCTGAACTAGAAAACAATATTACTATGCACACAAAATAATTGCAGTTGACGAGTCTACAATTAAATTCAAAGGGCGATCATCTTTAAAGCAATACATGCCTAAATACCCAATAAAAAGAGGCTATAAGGTACCTATATGGTCGTTTGCTGATAAACATGGTTATCTTTGGAATTTCGATTTGTACAAGTGTACCACTTTGGCATATCTGAAATCAATAGGTAATTTTTGCTATGGAATTGTTAATAGTACTCGAAAATACTTACCAAAGCTATTAGAGTTCGACAAAAACATGAATATAGGTGACGTTGACTGGAACATGAACGACCAGTATGACATTTCAATTGTCAAATGGAAAGACAAACGAGGAGTTACTTTGCTGTCCAACTTCCATAATCCAACTGATGTGACTGAGGTCAAAAGAAAATCTAAAGATGGAACCATATCAATGATTCCTTGTCTCAATGTACTACCATTGACCTACTATGCCACATTACCATAGACCTATAAAGAATCATTATAGGCCTATGCACATTACTGGTTGGGTTTATGATTGTTTTTTATTTAGTCGCAATTGATTTTTCTTATATTTGGGTCTATTTATCCCCTCTCGGCATTAGGAGGTATTGTATAAGCTTTCATCGACCTGTTGATGGTAAGAAAGTGAATACTTAAACTTGACCTTGCCCACTGACTACGTTGTTTGCCAATAATATACCTATCATAGATAACAATAATTGATCATTGAATAATACCCAAATGGCTGGATTGGTGGCAATTTAGTGTTTACGTTTAATATTAAGTACCATAAACCTAGTAGGCAAACCAAGTAAACATAATAATATTGAAAGGATGTACGCATGACATTGGATGGTGACATTGAGGATTTTGACTTGCACGAAGAGTTTGTTGAAGCTTTGCAATTTATTCTTAAAAATAATCAATAGGTCAAAATTTACCAGTGACCACTGCAACAGCAGAGAGATCTTTTTCTAAATTAAAACTATTTGAGATCACCCAGGAAAGATTCACAGATTCACTACACAAAGATATACTGTAGATTGAAAACGATAGCCAAACGCTAAATTAGATTATACAATGATGTAATGTTATAGTTTGCTGCAATGTACTGTGTTTTCCAACAAAAATGTATCATTCATTTTGTTTTCATCATTACTTTTTACCACTTTACCTAATAATTTTGACTTTTTGTAAAAAAATTTAATTCAGATAGACTCAAAATGGGTATTTGAAAGAAAATAAATGTATAACTTTGTATCGTGCATAATAATTTAATCTCAAATTTTTGAAACAAAAATAATAATTGGTCATTTAACAATTATTATCCGTTAAATTATTTAAATTCATTAATTTATTAATAGTTTGGATGATGTAGATAGTAATGTAATAATCAATAGACGATAGTTTTGTCAACAATAATAATATATGTACACCACTGACGGGGTAAGCCTTATATTATTATAACGTGTTGTTGTTATATCATGTTAATTGCTGTAGCATGATTTCGTGGATCGTCGAATAGGTAATAAAGTTTCATAATATTTAGTTATATGTTTTACATTGTATCTATTCCTATTATATATTATACACATGATAATATTATGTGCGCACCGGCCTATAACGTTTTGCCACAGTGATGGCAAGAAAACGACGACAGTGCATAGACCAAACGGTTAACCGCGCGTTCACTTGTTAACTGCAAGTGGTCACTGGAACAACTGGCAAGCGGATTCGGTTGGCTGTAAAAAAAAAAAAAAGGTGAGCATGTATTTTAATTAATTATTCTTAAGTTAAGTACAAATATTAAACTTTTTCCTACTTGTCAACAGTAAAAAAACCGAATTTATACATATAAGTACATGCTAAACAAATACAACATGTTCGGTACCTATCTAAATTGGTAGTTTGCTCTGTACATAAACGGACAAATTTCCATTTTTCTTAATTACTAGTTTGTCCGATTATATTCAATTAAGAAAACAAAACTTACACTATGTACATGGACAATGACAATATAATACAAGACAATATAACTTATTACCATGGACAATATATTAGTCATCGGTTGTTGTTGTTAGAGTCTGTTGGTAAAGTCTGAACGCCATAGATCATTTTTTTTTTTCGTTTTATTGTGCAACTTTCTGTCCTTTTTGTAGAATTATCAACAAAATTAAATTCAAATTTAGCACCTTTGGATTTATTTATACTTTTTAATAAACCGGCAAGTTTTCAGTTGGTCACAAACGACAAAAATTAAAAAAGTGAGTTAGAAAAAATCGCATATTTTTTTTTTGTTTGTGAACAATAAAAAGTTAACAAGGTTGACGAAATACGACAATGGCGTTGATTAATTATTATTTAACACCGAATTGCAACACAATGTGGTTCCTGAGTTAGGCTTAAATTCCTAGATTGTCTATTGATGTTTGTATACAGTTTCTCTTGGCTATTTAAATAATTTACAGTGTGTATAATAATAATAATAAGTGCTGTTAAAAATAACTCATTGTTTGATGGCTCACAGCCGTCTGTTTGCCGACTTTATTTATTTAAAAAAAATTATCACCGTAGGTAGGTTACTCAAGAACAACATCAATTATTATTTATGTAATTTTATAATATTAGTATATTGCATTTGTGATAATGTCATAACGATTCCTTGGCAACCAAATTATCAAGGGTAAATTGTTACTAGTGACTGAATAGTGAATAGAACCGATTAAATAGTTGCAATCATATTTAATAGCTACACAAATGCAGCTGGATGCTATGTATAATAATAATAACACTAATAAAATGATGCAGATTAAATTGTAGTGGCTCAACTGTACTGTATAATAATTTATTCACCTGCACAATTGGTTTATTAAGTGCAATTTTTTAACATTTGTACACCCAACAATAAAAAATAATATAGGTATAGTAGATGTAGTGTAAGTATTGAAAATAATACAATAATAATGCAATATATGTTTGTACATATGCAGAATCTCAAATAAAAAAATACAATATACGAATAATACAGGAAGAAAGGAAATATAATTTGACAATTTATCAAAAAACAAATTGAAGAGATAACATTTTTTTTTTTTACAATAATTTGATTAAGATATAATATAATATAATCATTTTTTTTTTTTGGTGTTATCTGGAGCCATTTTGACATAACTCGGAGAGTTTATTTAACAATTTCTCGCAGTATTATTTAAATAATTTAAATTTACTTATTGCCTGATCCTATTACTATGATATCAGAATGATACTTGAAATAATATCGTCTGATGTTAGGTTTTGTAATTGCCAAACTGCTATTATCGATAAGCTAGTGCTCAAAATATGTACATTAATATTAGATATATAGAATAATAAAAAAGTTTATAGTTAAGTGATAATTTTGAATGTCATAGAAAAAAAACTAGTTGTTATCATGTTGTAATAACATAGTGTGTATATGTATACTGTGTGTAAATTATAATTTCGCATCTGAACACTAAAGAACCAATTACATATGTCATAAACAAATAAATTACTTATCAGTAATCATACAACAGTTATACACATGATTTATTTTTCTGTATATTAAAAATGTTTTCTAAAAATAGTACTCAGTTGTATTATAACACACTAAGGCTGAAGAGACCACAGTACTTGCGTTAAACAAATATATTTATAATTTCACAATAATAAATGTAAAAACTATCCTAAACCTTTTTGGAGTTTTTTAATTTAATACTTTTTAGTCTTTAACACCATTTTGGTTATTGTTTATGTTGCATTTTTGAAAAATTTTAATTCTAAAAAATTCTAGAAAATTTTAGTTGAAACTAAAATTGACATGGTCGGAATATATTAAAATTTTTTTTCTTAAATAACATAACCTCAAATGTCTCCAAAAAGAAAAACTACAAAATTGCAATTATTTTATAAAAAAACTAGTGTCTGAATCGCCCTGTACATAATTTTTTTCTGGTCGTTTTGCAAATGTTACATATGACATTTACCTATTACTCACAATTGTCGTCGCATACTATTTTACTTTTCATTGTAAAAAAAATTAGCTTAAACAGGATGGACTAATAAAAGTTTAGATGTTTCTATTATCCGTTAATACTTTTGATTAAGTCGATGAAATAAAAAAATGACAATAACCCGTCTTAATTTTTTTCAAGTAAACTAAACTCATAATTGAATTTAGGGTGCACTAAATTTGTTTAATTTCCTTTTAGCTTTAATTAATGGATTTACAGCAGTTCTATTAATATTGTTTATTTCGTTGACCTATTTAATAATTTACCATCTGTTTCCATGTCGTCTAAAGGTGACAGAAATGTTAAAATTTAGCACCGCACTTGGTATATGATGGATAATTATTATTATTTAAAAGTAAAGTTTTTTGCGGGTTACAGTAAAGAACAGTTAGGTTAGGTTATGTTAAGTTTCAAGTAGATGGACGTAGTATTGGTTGGAAGCAGCATAAGCTTATTATATATTTATACAAGTGATACATTAAAGCTGAGTTTTTCTTAAAATAATTGCAATATTGTAGGGTTTTTTTTTTTTTTGGAAACATGTTAATAATATTGTAAAATAACATAAACTATTTAGTGTCTCCAAAAAGAGAAACCGGAAAATTAAAATTACTTTAAAAACAAGTGTTCTCATACTTAATAAATCATCCTGACTAATTCACTGATATAAGTCAGTTATTACCTGTTTAACTTCAATACCGAAAAAAGTTTTTGTTTTGTGGAATTTTGTTTTCTTTAAATTTCTGATAAGATTTGGTTTGGTTAGCTTTTATCTGTTATCTTATGCACTCGGTGTGTATGGTCTTGGCAGATTGAGAATAGCTCTAAACTAAACTATGTAAACATTACAGCAATGGCACTGATTTTGGGACTTTTTGGTATTTATAGTCGGCCAATTACTTCCAGAGAGTGTGAACGTTAATCGTTATCACCACTTTGAATGTACAATCGACATTGACTAGTGTCGAATCGGTTGTTCTGTGTAAATCACTGAAAACTGCCAACATGAGTACCTAATTAGGTTATATTTGTTAAATCACAGTGTCATACAATTATGTGGGTTATTAGATTATGATTTTTAAGACTGCATTAATTTAAAATTTAAACACAACTCTAACATTTTAGTCAAAACACGTGCATCTATTGAGAAAACGTGTGTATAAGTACAATATCTAATCTGTAAATCATATTTGTGTTAATGGTATTGTTAGATGTTTTAATCTTTAGCCGACTTTCTTATCTAGACACTCCTCGAAGGTCGTCAAACTATACTTATATATTTTTTTCGTGGTGATAAAATATGTAAGACATAATAATATTAGATCATATCGTGTCAGTGGTTATGGAATATGTCTCACTAACATAAGTTATGGTAAAAGGGGTTAAGTTTGAAATTGCAATTTTTACAGAAGAACAAACCATAATTTTTTTCTATTTTTAAATTATACCACTAAAAATAACTTATGCATTGCTTAACCAATTAAAACAAAATATTAAAATTGACCTCGTTTTACACATTTTTTTTAAAATTTTAATGTTTTTAAAATAAAAAAAAAATAAAAATCATCATTATCATAACTTAGTAATGATGTATGAGTTAATTGCTTCTACACCATCGAATTAATGTGTATGTATGTCTGATTTGACTAACAGTATTTTGATGTCGTATGGTCTGTTGTTTGAATTGTGTTTTTAAATTTTAATTCATAACTACTAGACATTTATCATTTATAAGTTAATCATTTTGAATACATTTATTCATATGTTATTTCGTTTGCACAAAATAAAATAAATTATTTTAGACAATTTTATGCTACACCAGTTTCGGGATTAATTATATTATAACATCATTTTGGATACTGTGGATTTTTTTCTAATGATTTATGATACATGACTATATTAACATATTAAAACGATAATGAGACGTACTAAAAAATTTCAGGTAGATAACCGGTTTTCAAATGTAATTATTATCTTAATACAAGTTATTCACAAAACTACTAGCGGAGGAGCAAGTAGAGAGGCGTAACTGAGCATGGTTTAAGGTAGAACTAGTTATAACATTTTTAAACAATAAAAATGTAGCAGAAAAGTAAGTAAGGCATAAGTATAGTATAATAGATGGACTGTTAGAAAGAAAGAAGGTATTGAGAGAGGGTAGTGTTTGGATAGTAATCAGCTGAGGTCTTTTTTCCCCAACTTCATTGTTCAGTAACTATTAGGGATTTCGAATCTAAAGAGCCTTATTATTTTGTATTGATACTGCGCTTTGGTTGATTGGTAGTTTTGGAGTGTTAAGGACATCATTGTCAAGACAGAATTTTAACTCCATCGCATCTTTTTTAGTATATGTATTATATAGTGAGAAAATAGATAAACCTCATAATGGCAATAATAAGTGGTTTTACACTTATTTCTCCAAGGCCTCGTGATTTTAGGAATTTTCGAAAGTACTATTACATGTGGTTAAAATGACAATATCGCAATGAATTTGTTTGCACTTAGTATATTTTTTGCTCTTTAGAGTCTATGAAATTAATCCACGAATGGGGGTAGTGTATAATATTTATATGTACAATACACAGTGTGGGTTATGACACTTTGACAGTTGTACACAGGTTGACCTTTTCTCGAAAAATAATTACAACTTTGTAGTTTTGCTTTTAAAAAAAAACGTTTTTTTTATTGTAGAATAACATAAAGTTACCAAATATTTACCTTTTTTAAGTGCAATTATTTAACATTAAACTTTAATAAGTTTATAAGTACTTATTCAAATTTAGTCATCAACCAGTCAGCATTTTCAGCAAATTATTCTTCTTATAATTTATGTATGTGTATTATGTAAATTGTCAAATCCTCGTGTAAATCGTACTGTAGACAATTCACAGTTCTACTGATGCAAATATTTTTTTTTAAGTTTAAAACTAACTATTGAAAACTGGTTATCGCCCACTCAACATTTTCTGCAAATTATTCTTCTTATATGTACGTGTACTATGTAAACTGTCAAATCTCCGTGAGTCATACTGTAAACTGATAAAAATGTAAGAAAAAAAATCGAAGAAACCGTTTTGTAGCCTACACACTGTATTATAGTCGCAGAAAATTGTCAGTGATTTTACACATTATATAATCATAGAGAAGTGACTATGTAATTATTTTTTTACATTACCAGTATGCGAGCAGTATTTTAATTTATATATTCACACACACACACACATATGAACAGATGTAGGCAAAACCTACACTTGTTCTAATGTCTATTTTATAAATTATTATAAATAATAGGGCATTCACCAAACATTTTCGGTATTAGAAAATTCAATTTGCATTTACATTGAGTCTGCAGTACATTTCCAGTGGTATAATATATCACCATTTTGTAAGTTTTATTCTTATGAACAAATTCATATCATAATAATTATAGACTGCAATAGTGTTGTATACTGTCTGTATTCGGTAAAAAGTATAAATTGAATTTATCACAATGCACCACTACCTAAGTCAGGTCAGGCGATACATATTTTTTAGGTTTAGCCTTAACACTTTTGAGCCGTCTATTATAAAGCATATTATACTATTCTTTATATTCGTATATTATATTGTGTACATAGATGATATATTTTGTCATATATAAATAGTAGCAATACTTGAAAAATACAATTATTCTTAAAAAAAACTCATCAAATGAAAAGTACAACACAGACAGATAGGGTCATCTTGAGGTTATGCTCGTGAGTGTTGATATCAAACGTATATAGTATTTTTTGTACCTGTACACATTTATTTACTCTAGAAGCTACTGTTTACTGTTTAACGTATCATATATAGGGGGCTCACGTCAGTACACATTCAACCGTGGTTTGGTTCGGTAGTTTGGTGAGTTCGCTTTCTGAACCGGTGTTTTACACATTAATTTAAAGAATAGTGCTTTAGTCAATCATGCTGCCTAAAGATCTCGTCTCAGCTACCGAAGAAGTAAGAATAATTGATTAATAAAAAAGCTACAGCACTTATTTATTAAAATCGGATTTCCTTTTTTAGCATCGCACATTTACAACCAAAATACACGTATTTAGTTTTTTTTTTATACTTATGTAGTTATTAATAACGATTTTTGGTGTGGTTAATTTACACAACTATCATTATCACTGAATGAAACCTTTTAGATTCGGTCTGGTTAGGTGTAAAAATCAATGGATTTCCATGGATATTACATTTGTGTAATTATTTTAACTATTGAATTATTTTCACTATGGTCGGCTTACATTTTTAATCGGACAACAGATTTATCGATAAACTATTGTGTAAATTAATTGTACTGAGTTTTATTAAATTGATACGAGATAAGTTATTTACTGCCCACAGTCTCATATAGTCTCTTAACATTAATTGTGTTACTGTTCTATTCTAAAACAGTGGTATTTCGTACAAAACGTTTTGTTGTTTATTAGAGATAAATCATATTGCTACACAATCGTCCGATCATAACCTAGGTAACCTAGAAATTAACTTTCCAAGTGGTAATACAACAACTGATTTATGAACTATTGTAATCACTAAGCTACTTGTATAATCTCGACTGTAAATATAATTTAATGCATACCGCGACCATATAAGAAATAGAGTATCTACCAACACAAAAAAAAAATAGTAAATTATACTATGTGGAAAAGATTACATTTACTTATGAAAATAGTATTTTAAATATGCATTTATTTGTAATGATTTTACCACCAGTAATGAAATGATAGGTAACAAGTGTTAATAGAGGTATAGTTATAGGAAGGAAAGAATAATTGTTTTATTTACATAGTTTTTGTGACATTTTGTATGGGTTGTAAATTTAATAACTACAGGTTTTTACTGTTAACGGGAGAAATGTATTTTTCGAACAGTCCAGTTTTTGCCATATTATAGTAAACGCTTTGGAATTAGGGCAAAAACGTTTTGGACTCCTTGCTAAGTTCATCTTCGGAGTCATCTTTAGCAATGAGTCCGAAACGTCAGAAAAACAACTAAGATGTGAACAAACAGGAAAATAATCGAATTAACAGTTTCAGTATAAATAGTTTTAGGTTAGGTTTATAAATATATGAAAATTAAGATATTCTTCGATAATTGGTAATTATATTTTGGAATTTGCCAAACATATTTAACATAAAACTCCTATTATATGTATTTGTGTATAAACAAATCAATTATATCGAAAACGTTTATATGTGTGCTAAAAATTGAATTCGATTTGTTGAATTTAAGTAGTGAAGTTTATCATAGTTAACTGTTATAACCAACTGTACTCAGTGACATTCTTAAGTGTTATTGACTGTAGGTCGTGATTTGCTATAAAACGACTGTACTGGATTCTCTTGAATTTTAGTATTTTTTTTTTAAATACACAACATCTATTGTATGGTTTATTTATTAAATCGGAATATGAGATAACAGTTTGAACTACGCTGTCAAGTCAATTGTGACGCATGCACTAAATTATATATTGCTCTAATTTCATATTTGCCTATAGTTATTAATTGTTATTTCTAGAATAGTTCCAATCTTTAACTCCCGGTAAAAATACTCGAGTAAGGCGTTATTAAAAAAAAATAGAATATTCTACTAGCAACACATACTTACTCAATTAAACTATCTATAATAAATTATCTATCCTGTTGAGATGTACTTTAAATTAAATGGGGTAATCGATTTATTTTTAATGCTATAAACAAATAATACCATCAAGAATCTTTTGTGAGTGTTGTCATATCAAGCTGAGATTATAAAATAATTATTTACCTCGTTCTTATAGACTACAATTATTACGCGTGGTTAACTTATTGGTTCGCTAGCAAAATATTTGAAAAATTAATATACCTATAGAATATATTATTAAAACATACTGCCAAAAAACTCCATTATACAATCTCCATTATGAACACTGTCATAATTACACTTTTGGTACGTCACGGTCAGTCATGCACAAACCTTGAATTTATTTTAGATGTTCCCATTTTAAATAATATGTTAAAGAAACAAAAGATCATTCATTTTTTAAAAAAAATGAGATTAATAAATTATTGATATACAGAGTGATTCATTAAGGAGAAGACACTCGTTTTTGTTTAAAAATAATTGCTATTTTGTAGTTTTTTCTTTTTGAACACATTTTTGTGGATTTTATTTTACAATATTATAAAATTACTAAATATTTACACTTGTTAGTATTTTATATATTTAGCTTTTTTAATCAAAACGTATTTTCTGAACATTTTGACTGATCGACAACCTGTTTTAGACTTTGGTAATTTTTATATTAATTATCCAAAACCGGTTATCGACTAGTCAACATTTTCAGAAAATTACCTTTAATTTGAAAGTTAGTTTAACCTATACGTTACGTTTTAAGTTTTAAAAGTCGATAGAGCTCTGGAAAAAAAATTAAAAAAATAAAAATTTGAAATTGTCTAAAACTACAGATTTGTTATTTGAGAAAATGAGTGTTTCTTGTCCTTAATAAATCACACTGCACGTATAACCGGCAACTGTTTTAATAATTTAATATTTCTGTCTGGTTTTTTACTTAAAAATATCGTTCACATTTTGTAGATACCCAATTGATTTTTTTAGTACTATTGACCCGACCTGTTATTTCACGTGAAATATCACCATCTATGTATATACAACCATAAAATATACCATTTTGAATTTATAGCGGTAGGTACTACACGAGTGGTTATTAGTTTTCAAACCGGTTGAAGGCTGTGTGACCGACCGGGCTACTATTATAAGATAATTTGTCGGAAGTTTGAACATGCTATTCATTGCTATTTTCCATATCACAATAATGGGTCCTCCATCCGTTTCAATTATTGTAATTGCTGTTACACTAAAAGTTATTTTAACAGTAAATTAGACGAACAAATAAAACGCATATAAATAGTGGATGGAAATTTTATACAATTTTTATGTGAAATAACCTAGCTGATTATTGTATTAGACAATGCTACTGTGGTCTGATCACTTTTTTAGGTTCACTTTTATTTATTCAACACAATGTGTATTTGATTAGATTTATTTCAAGGAATAAATATGATTTTTTTAAGGCTACTTCTTTTCAACCTAACGAAAATCCGACTGAACCGAACGGTTCTCCTAAACAACAAGAAGAAACCCTATCTCTATTGGCACTCGAGGACGGCAATATGACCAAAGACAAATGGAAATCAGATACTAACGTTGAACGAACTAATGGTCAAACTAAGATAGACGACCACGATCATAGATTAAGTATTGCCTCGGTCGGTCACGTTCCTACCGGCCATCCTACTTCGTAAGTATAATACACGGTTGTTGACTTTCAGTTGGGTACAAAACATACAAATAATTACCCGGTAATTTTGAATAATTGCAGTTATTACGAAACACTGATAAACATGCTGAAAGGTAACGTGGGATGTGGCATATTAGCAATGGGAGATGCGTTCAAAAACGGTGGTCTACTATTGTCTCCTGTGTTAACCGTCTTCATTGGTGTCATTGCAGTGTATAACCAACACTTGCTGGTAAGTTTTTTTGCTTAAACTTTTTTTTATTAACCCTTTATTTGATATTTCCCCTTTTTCTTCTTATCAATTACCATTCTTATCGCTGGTTGTTATCTTATCAGCTTGTCTTCCCTTATCAATCGTCATTCTTATCAATCACTATCTTGTTTTTAATTAGCTGATTTCTCTATTCGATTTTTTTTTAAAAATGTGGTTGTAAATACACATTCAATTTTAAAAACATTATTAAAAATATCCTTTTAACCCTGGCAGTCATTGACTTCCTATACAGGGTTATTCAAATTGCACATTATAAATTCATGTTACTTATAACAAGTAATCACTATATTATGGTAACCAGTTACGACTGTAAATCATACTGTAGTCTGCTTAAACTAGTTATTATTCATGAGTCACTTTGAAAAATACTACTGACTTGGTTTTTAAGATCCTATTTAAAAAAAATAGTCGACATTCAGGAAGTTGATAAATTAATCTAAAAGTGATATAATTTTTTTACGAAAAACGCCAGTGGATTTTAATTTATTTTTATCTATTTATGTTTATTATTATAATGACTGAATATTAAATTTACGAAAGGGTTCTACCTCTCGCACACAGTTTATCTGAAAATTAAAGGTCTTTAGATAATTTCATTCTATTATCTGGGTTTCCTTATTGTATTAGTGTCGCCACTCGCCACCCTCAGCACAAAAATTTCCCCCAACATATCAAAAGTTCATTTTGTATTTCAAAAAGAGAAAATGATTGTCCAGTACTACTCAACGAGCTTAGTGGATAGTTTCGATGAAAAACTGTGCGGTGGTTATGAAAGTATCCAAAATAATTTCGTCAGAAACAAACTAGTAGATAGTATTGTATAATATATTTACCTTTTATGATACTTTTCAGGCTTATCATAGTATTTCAATTACAACTAATGTATTTTCAAGAGTACACCGTTATAAATAAACTTATACGTATTAGGTTATTCCACTAGAAATCAGCATACTTATAATATTATACACCCAATGCAAACATTTATTAAATAATGGTTGGGTTTTTGTCGATAAAAACACATGATTGGTATGCTAAAATCCGAAAATAATGTAAAAATACAATTCGTTGTTTATTTGTTCTGCATTTTTTTTTTTGTGAGCTTTTGTTTTAAATAACATTACAGTTCAACAACTACAGATTAACATATTAAGTACATATAGAAATAAATAATAGAATTACTCAATTTAATGTGAGGATATAGTGTACTACAATTATTAATGTTTTAATAAAATATATAGAGTAAGCACAATTTAAAAAACAAAAAACGAGCAGTATATTTTTGGCTTTTGCTTATTTAATATATATTATAATATTTCCCATGTGTTGACAACATCTACTATTTACATATGTTTTTATGTAGGCGTGCATAATATTATGTTAGTGTAGATATACCTGTGAAACAGTATTTGTTTATTCAAACTAAGTAAATAACTACGCAGGTTTAATAAGCACAAATTTAAAACGACATCATGGAAATTAATTTTATGGGCAAATCCACGTGAAATAAACACAAAAGTTTCTACTTTGACTTGATCACAATATAGTATTTATTATAAAAATACAAAAAAAATACATTGCACAATTTTCGCTAATATCATCTCATCTAAGAAACTGTATAAACAGTATTTGAACACATTTTTCATTTAAAATAACAATTTTTAGCTAACACTCAAGTATAATATTATATATTAGTATAATATATTGACACTATTACTTCAGGAAATTTCAAACATATAATATTTATATTTAAATATATAAGGCTAATGAATACTTAAAAAGTCCATTTTAATATTAATATTTATACTATTTTAGGTGACATGTTCCAAAAGTGTCAGAGAAAAGTTAAAATTGCAACAAAGTCCAGAATTCTCTAAGACAGTGGAACTGTCATTCCAATGTGGACCGCCGCCGTTCAGAAAATACTCTACATTCTTTCGGTTAGTAAATCTCATGATGACAACGATTTATTATTTTATTTATTTATTACTTTTTTTTTGTGTCTTGTTTTGTAAAATGGTCAAAGAAGCAAGAAAATTTATAGTAGAAAACAAACAATTATTTTTTATTATAATTTTATCATTTTTTTATAATATTGAGCTAATGAGGTCGAAAAGTAAAAATAATTCGCAGTTAAGAAGCATTAAGCCATAAGTAGACACAAGTAAGAAGTTAAGAAAATGTTTAGAAATGTAATTGTAAATATATTAGAAATATTAAGAGGATGAGTTGCCGTGGTCTTCTATGATTTTTTAAGTTTTATATTAATTTTAATAGTTGAAAAGAACAAAATTTAAAAATGTATATTATATTTAAATAATCGAGAAAATAATGTGCTTAATAAATCACCCGTTAATTGTTCAATTGTAAATACTTTCATTAATCCGAAATGTTTTTTTTTTTTACAGAAATAGTGTAAACTGTTTTGTTGTGATAACACAGTTGGGATTTTGTTGTGTCTATATTATTTTTGTCTCCAAATCAATAAAACAGGTAATTGTTTTTACAAATGTCAATTTTTTAGCTTTTTGGATACCTATTTATGTCATTAACAAGACTGAGCTGCCTAAAACTGAATGAGTTGTCAAACGCGCATTATATTTAATTTTGAATAGAACCTGCTATTAGATTATTTTAATTGAAATGAAAAATTATTGTAAAATATTTTTGCAAATCAGTATAAGATTACCTGATTACGACTTTGGTCATTAATTGGTTTTAGGGACCTCTTATTTAATTGGTAACCAATATCCGTTTGTGGGACTTTTAACGTTTAGTGAAAGTTCATGTGATTCGACACTTGTAAGATAGATTGTGGTAGGTAATTTATGTTACCTCGAGGTACATTTTTATTTTAAAATTATAATGAACAATAAAACAATGCGAAATACAACGGTATTACCATGTCGACAAAGATAGAGAACACTTTAATCAATTTATTTATCTAAAAATGTCTAAACTTATTTAAGTAAATAAAAGTTATAGTACTTAGTAAAAAAATCATGAAAATATTATAAAATTATCAGTAATTCACCATTTTTAGTATTTTCCAGAGCGCTGTCAGCTTTTTAAACTAAAATGGTAGTGTACATATATATTTAAAATAACAATAATTTTCTGAACAATTTGACTGGTCCATAACCAGTTTTGATTAATTATTACTTTCAACGCTATCAAAGTTGAGTAATAACAAATAATACTTATCACTCCATCGTTCCTTCGTCCTAACATGTTAACTTTAATAACGAGTACGTTACCATTTAAGATTAAGATAGCACTCTGGAAAATGTCCTTATAGCTATAAGGTTTATTTATGTAGTAGGTTTAAAGTTGTTAATTTACAGGAATGTATTCCTGTAATTATAAATAATAAATTGTATTTTTATTTATTTCAGATAATGAGTTGGTACGACATTGATCTCGGGATCCATACGAGCATAATGATTTCGATGATACCCATTTTGATATCTTCGCTTATAAGAAATTTGAAATTCATCGCTCGGCTGTCTGCGTTGGCCAACGTGTGCATGTTGACAGGTCTAATGGTAATTATCTATTACTGTTCCACAGACTTACCGGCTCTGAACACCAGACATCCCGTTGCCAATTGGACGTCGATCCCGTTGTATTTCGGCACCACCATATTTGCATTCGAAGGCATTAGTTTGGTAAGCCAACCAGAATGCACAACACAGTATTTTGAACAGCTAATATTCGAAAATCAAACGATAACTTCCAGGTTTTGCCGCTGGAGCAAGAAATGAAAAATCCCAAACAATTTTCATCCATGTTCGGAGTGCTCAACGTGGGAATGGTGTTAGTTTCTAGTCTGGTTATATTGACGGGTTTCATGGGGTATCTGAGGTTCGGCGATGATGTCAAAGGCAGTCTGACATTAAATTTGCCCGAAGAATTTTTGTAAGTTTTGTGAGATTTCAAAACAATAATAATAATGATTTTTTTTTTTTTAACATTAATATTGAAAACAAATAACAGATTATCGAAAGTTGTCATATTGAGCATGATGTTTGGTATCATATGCACGTATACCTTGCAGTTTTACGTACCAGTGGAAATCATTTGGCCGATAGTGAAGAAAAAATTTGGTCCTTTCAAAACGCCCATAGTGTGGGAGATAGGACTTCGGATACTAATGGTACTCAGCACGTGTGAGTTTATTACTATAATGATTTATTTATTTTTCATATCTTGCTAATTAATTATTACATGCTTTAATAAAATGGGGCTAAGTATGTTGGAAATAAGTATTCAGTTTAGTCCCCAAACAATTTCATCATTTTTACATCCGCTCTTAAATATTTAATAGCGTTTAGTCTCTCCACCCTCTCATAGATCATCCCATATGAATTATAAAATTAGCTAAATATAAGCTAATATAGCTTATATATTGCCTAATAATATATCTGTATTAGTTAAATGAGTTAGGTAGGCCCAATAAGGTAGCCATTTTCAGTTGTCGCTTATCGCTAATGTATCTTAACATTGAACAGCAGCCATCACAGAATAACCAGAATAGACGCTTTTCAAGAATTACATGGGTTCTTTTATAAATCAGGCAAATAAGTGTAAGCAGTATAAATATAATAACCGTTGATGTTTTATTTCTGGCGACACTTCTAATTTCCTATCTAGATGATTTGGAAAATCAGTTTTGGCAGCCAAGAAGACATTTTTATTCGTGGCTACACTGATTTGCTCAGCAATTTTACCGATTTCGAGTTCTCGTTGACTGTCTCTTTTGGTCACAGATATATATATATATATATATATATATATATTATATATATATATATATATAGATTGCTAACTTGTGATAAGAATTAAAGTCGACGTCCGCCATTTTTGTGGGATTTTGTGTGTATAATATAATATATATCTGTGATTCTGTGTTATCAACTTAACTTATAATTGTTATATACATATTTTCATGTAATAAGGTTCTAATTCCCACAAAGATGGCGTGTAGATTTATAGCAATCTAGTTAATTAGGTATGTATATATATATATATATATATATCTGTGCTTCTGATTATTTTGTGCAGCCATTAACAGTTGTGGCTTATCACATATCTCTTATCACTGATCCCTTATCACCAATTTCTTATCTTTGATTCTCATTTTTCCTGCTTCCCGTCCACTCACTAACCTAACCTACAAGATTATTTCAGCTTATCTATGACCCTTTCAAAATGATGTGGCCTACAAGAGCGATACAATTTGTTGTTACCAGTTGGCCTAACTTAACTTGTCGGTGTATATATTATTGTTACAGTCGTAGCGGCCGACGTGATACCGCACCTGGGACTGTTCATATCCATGATGGGGGCCGTGGCCAGCACGTTCCTGGCACTGATCTTTCCGCCCCTGTGTCACATGGCCGTCACGGGCTACGAGGGATACGGTCGGTTCCGATGGAAGCTGCTGGTAAACGCCATCACGCTTATCCTGGGAGCCGTGGGTTTCGTCACCGGCACATACGCCAGCGTTTATGAGATCTGCGACGCGTTCCAAAAGGAGGGAGCAATGGGTAGTGTGTCCCTGCCGACTGCGCCAACATTGTCGACCATCGCAATGGCTGCCAACGGCAGCAGCACGTTGGTCGCGCAATAAATTGACATCAGTAAACTAACCACACACGGATGTCAATTATTTCATTATTGATAATAATTATCCAACCGTCGGAACTGGTGGATCTTGTCAATCGACAGGCGGTCGTCTTGATTATTTTTTTGTACGTCCCGAACGACGTATAAAAAAACTTTGACTTTGCACTGGCCGACTATTTTTTTTTTTTTTTTGTTTTGTTTTTCGTGATGCTCGTAAGCATGCAACATACGATAATTTAAAGTATTACTGTTTTATTATTTTTTTTCCCCTTAATATTATTATTTCTTTACGAAAATAATATTAAAACGTTAACTGTTACGTTTTTTTCTTTTTGTTTTAGTTACATTTTTTTCGTTTTGAAACGCAACTTTTGTGTTGCCACAATTTAAAACCGAAGGCGGTAACTAAAATATATATTCTAAAAGTATTACATTTATTTAACCGTTGTGGCAATAAACGAATACACCATAATAATAATAATAATATGTACTATATTAATTTTGTTAAACGCCACACACGACATACATACATCAGCCGTTGCTCAATAGCATACATAGTACAATTATTATTTGTGTGTGATGTATGTAATATTGTTATATTATTGTTTTTACAAGTGAACTATATTATGTTGAATTTATAAAAATATGGACGTGTTGAAATATTATATAGATGCTGATGTTGAATGTATTATATAGGTAGACTATACTATAATGTATTATGACGAACGTAAAATTATAATATTTTTGATAAATCTCTTAGATTTTTCATACGAATTGTTATGACTGCGGTAGGGACTGAAAAAGTGTTGTTGTTTGTTTTTTTTTGTCTTGTGTCCACGATAGCTTAATGGAATCACTGAACTGAATAATTGGCATTCAAGGGGAATAGTAAATATGAGAGTTCACACCTTAGAATTTTAAAAGCATTAAGAAAGGTTTTTCAAGGTTCTATATCGCCGGTTGCTATAATATACGAATATTTTTGGTAAATTCAAATTTACCAAATAGCCTTTGTTACAAAATTTAATATTGAAGTAGATATGGGCTAACGTGTTTGAGAATTATTCGTCTACAAAAATTTGATAGTAATTTTTAAACGACACGTTTTTTCAGAATGCAAAAAGTTTGAAACGTAGTGTACAAAGCGTGCAATATGTTGGTTGAAATTCACTTTTCGGAACATAAGACATATATTTTTATCCATTCTTAAACACCTGGTTACATAAAGTGTGCGGTGTATAATAGCGTTCAAGTAAAAAAAAAAAAAGATACAATTCAAAGGTTATTGAATTGTCTACGGGCTTTGTTATCAGCCATAAAATCACGTGATCTATCAGCAAATTTGCTAACATGTGACAACAACATGCAGTACAGAAACGTTTCATAGAAAAAAAATCATACATCAAACATTACATTTCTTCGTTTTACAGTAAGTTTTTTTTCGTTTGTATTTTAAACACATGCAGTACATATCCAGTATACAGGGTGATTCATAATTGCAACGTCTCTTTTCGGAGACACTTTAGTTTAATAATATGTTATTTTACAATATTAGACAATATTCAGATTTTTTAGTTTTTATTTTTCCAGAGCTCATATGCGGAATGAACTTTTTGAATTAAAAATAATTTACTGAATATTTGAACTAGTAAATAAGCAGTTTTGGATAATTACTTTTTATGTTATTTAAGTATAGAACGGTATGAAGGATGAAGTGAAGAATTATTTTTATCTGCGCGCATAACTTAACTTCAATAACTTTAAAAGTAATTATCCAAAAGTGGTTATTTATTAATTTTAGATGTTAATGAATTACAAATTTTTCCATTTGAGTTTTAAAAGTTGATAAAGCTTTGGAAAATACTATTAAGTAATTTTATAATATTGTAAAATAACATAATCAAAAATGTTTTTAAAAAGAAAAATTACAATATTGTAATTATTTTAACAAAAAATTAGTGTCTTATCCTCAATGAATCACCCTGTAGACTAAGATGTTGGGATTCAATCATTGTGGCACCATCAATATCAGATAAAATATTATTTTTTTAGATAGACGAATAAAAAATTGAATTTTAATAATTTTTTTTTTTATAAAAAGAGCCAGCTTGGAAAAAAATTTTAGGTTTGTAATTTTTTAGTCGTCTCCTTTGACCTGTGGCTACATAAATGTATTATTATTGTTACTATAATGTAATTTTGTTTTAAAGTCTATATATTATTGATATTTTCTAATGACTTAATAATAACCAGACCAGCGGTTTTATGCAGAGAAACGTTTGTTTAAGAAAATCTACTTACACTGATTGCTAATACATTTATAAATAATACTTAATATACAACTCGGAAGACATTTAAGTTCGGAATGACTTTTTCATTGAATGGCATAAACTTTGTTACCTAATAAAATTAACATATTACATACAAATATTTGTATGTGTTTTTAATTACTGCGTTCAAGTGAGATATTAAACTAAATCTAATATATCTGTTCTTAGTGAAAATGTCGGTGTACATTTCAACTCTTTTGGGAGATGTTTTGTACATGTTTATTGTGTGCCCTGTATAAATAAAATAGACCCAAACAAATATAATGAATTATTTGTTTGAGACTCACTGAGTTCAATACACTTTGCGACATTTAATTGAATTTTCACAGTGGCCAAAGTAGGAAAAGTTAAGAATAAATACCAACGTTTGTATACATTAAAGATTAGAATAGTAAATTAAAATCGAATTTTACTTATATTTTAAAAATAATCATCTATTTGTAAATTTAGAAAGTCGATAAAATATTATCTAGTATGTATGGAAGCATAAAAAAGTAACTTTTAAAAATTCACACATTTTCATAAACATTTTTGTAGAACTTTATTCTAATTTAAATTATTTTTCTCTCCTAAACTACATAGTCATCTTAGACTCCACTTATTGAGCTTAACCCTTAAAAGTTATCAAATACATCCCACATTTAGAATAACAAACAAATTTTAAACGGTAACAGAAATAAATTATTTTTAGTACTTTAGTTTTGAAATTTTGTCTACATGTCTGTAGTTTAAACTGATTCACAACAATATTGTTCTATTTATTTTTCAGCCGAGAACATATTGCATTTCCATGCTAATTGGTTAGCTTGGTTTGGACTGTACTATAGTTTACACTGTACTTGGTTTGAAATATGATGGCTTTTCCAATTTACTTTTATTGGAAACACAATCTTACTGCCTGCATGTACCATTATGTATTCATAGACTTTTCTAGTCTCTAGATTAATGTCCATCGCATTAGACCAATGACAAAGCGTCTGACAGGACTGCACCTAGTATTACATCTACTATGTTAGGAAAATAGTAAAACGCTAAGGCTAAAATGTCGTTGCAAATATTACTTAACATAGTACAATATTGAATTGGGACTGAGAAATAATCAAATAGTAATGCAGCACGGTGGCAGGCCATAAATAACTAATCCAGATTACTGTCACACTGTATAATATATATATAAATATATATTATGGTAAAGTCGAACTATGCTAACTGTAATCATCTGACAAAACGACATCAACAATATCCGCAACAGTGTAAAATATATAAAAAAAAAGACTGCTTCAATATTGCAGCACAATGCTGTGTTCTTAGTAAACAAACTGTTTTTCTGCTGGGCTAACTATACTGTCTTTCTGCTGTATTATATGAATTAAAATAGTACTGTGGATACACACATCTATCTAATCTAACGCACGGCTAAGTCATTCGTATAATATAAATTTCAAAGATATATTAATACACAATAATTGTATTTAACGTTTAATATTATAGTCCAATTGCAACTGGGTTATTGATGTATAGTACCTATTGGCTATTTAAATAAACATTATCTTTGTGTATCTAACCTTATTATTGTTTTTTATGTCTAATGTCGTGCTATCTATTTTTCGAGTATAATATGACCCACATATTATTCGTCTTATAAATTAAGTCCAGCCACATCCGTATGTGTATGTCTTGACCTTTTACTCAATCGGTTATATTTCTCCACACGTTTCCATTTTCCGTGTTTCTCGTGTTTTGCCGTTACTGATGTATCTGTTGGAGTTTTTTGACTTGGTCAATGTAGTTAACAGGAGAACGACCTATATTCCTTTTTCGTTCTACCTTCTTCCTGAATAATATTGCTCTCTCCACGCCATCTCTCCTTTTTATGTGACTCGAGTATTTTATCATTTTTTCCTATATTGATGGGAAGAGTCGTATACATAAAAAATTGGTATTTTGGAGTTTCGAAGAAGAATTTGCACATTCCTGCATACTAAAGGGGGTGATTTTTTCGGAAGGTTAATAATGCGGGATACAATGCCTTTAGATAGGTACATACTAGTACACATTACTATTTTAATTGTTGAAAATCTGTTCATCGTACCACACTGTACACCTAAGTCTGTGCAGAGGTTACTCTACTGCCTGTATCAACTTGCATAATAATATTATACTGAAGGTGGTGGACGCGCGCACACGTTGGTCATAAATATGAATGCCGGTTCATTAGCAGCGATGGAGCACGCGCATTAATAATTATTATTCGTCTGTTACGATATTGTTATTGTAATATAATATTAATTCGACGGTGTTATTAAACTAGTGGAAATATATTAGTACACACAAAGGTTATCGGACACACACGGCCGGGCCAAACGCACAGCGCAGATGGGCGGATGGACTACCGCGGCTAGCAGGGATGCGTGCAGTCATGTTGGCGCGCCCGTAGGATGAGCACTTGTCCAGAAGAGCATATCCAGTAGCCGCCGCCGCCGCCGTAGTTTTCCGGGCAATTTAGTTTTCACATTTTTTTCCATTTCAAGTATTTTTTTTTTTTGTTTAATTTGATTTTTAAACACCAAAAAGAGATGGACGGACGCGCATCAAATGATACGGAATTAAAACAAAACGGCTCGACTCAGACAGCCACCGCGGATAACGGTGAAGCGATTCCTGGGTGTAAATCGAAAAATTCAACAACAGAGTGTAAAAAATCCGGGTGAGTAACCTTAATATTAAAAATATTAACAATAATTAAAAAAACAAATAAATTCTAACGAAAATACATGGGGTGACACGGGGTTTTTGTTTTTTTTTTATACCGTGTAAATTTGCCTTAAAGGGTTGCATGCGGTCTGGTTTTAAGGAGTTTTGTATAGGCAATATTTAAGAAAAATTAGGTTTTAATACATTCGGACCGTGTCAATTAATTCGTATAAGCTTCGAGGTATTATTTTTGATTTAAGTATTTTTTTTCTTTGAGTATAAAAGCTATTTTGGGTTTTTTTTTTTAGACCAAAAATCCAGACAAAATGTCTACTATACACTTGATTGTCCTATGTCAATTCTGCAAAGAGATTCTAGTTATTTGGCTACTTTACCGTATTATGTAGGAAGCCGATTTTCATTAAAATCAGTTTCTTGTAAATTTTAAACGTGCATTTTTTTCAATATTAAAACCCAATTTTTTTACATAAAAAAAAAATCGAACCATCCTAATTAGTTGAAATTTTGGTTGGCTTTTTGGCCCAAAACTTTAAAAAAAAAACAGACTCTTAACCTGGCAAGGGTTAATTTTTAAATATCAAGAATAATAATACTTTTTTGGTTGGCCGTGGATAAAGTTATGTATAAAATATAATATGTATTCTTAAAAATACCAAGCCAGGTTAAAAGGACGCCTCACCGCCCATTTCTAAGGAGCAAAGTATAGGCAATTTTTCACAAATTCTTAATTGAGAGCTTCAACTATTGTGTATACTTTTATTAATACAGCAATAAGGATTCTTTATTGATTGACATGTTTTTGTTGTCCAGACTTTCACAGTCATTTCCATAAGAAAAATTACTCTTTGTTTCCCCATCAAAACTGCTTATGAACAGTAGATTAACCAAATTTTCACAATGTATAGAAAATAACTTTGCCGTAGCGTTTTTGTTTTTTAGATGTACATAAGTTGAAAAACGTTATGGATGTTTTATGTAAATAATAAATATACTAAGTTGGCCACAAAAAAAAAAAATGTAATTTGTTACACCGTTTTATGTTCAACTAAAAGTATTGTTTCAAAATAAATGTTTACCATAAATTATTACATTTTCTTATAAATAATTTTTTAGTATAATACATTTTAATATTTTTTAAATTAATTTCAAATAATTTATGTTTGATTACAATATACTTAGCAACGGTTTTGGCGGAGAGACATGTTAGGCAAAAATGATTTATTTAATCAAGCAACAATATTACTGTCAACAGGTTTTTTAAAATACATTTCTAAGCGAATGGAAGTGAAAAAAATTAAATTTTTTATTATGTATTTGGGATAATGTTGCTTTTGACAAGCATTCCTGCTTGTTAAGAAAATACAAAATTTTGATCACACGGTTAAGACTTATTATTGATATTTATGACAACCCATAGGCAGACCAAAAGAGTGTTTTTTTAACCTACAAAAATAAAATTGGGCAGCTTGGAAAATATAAATACAGTTTAGAAAAAAAAATATATATATATACAATATTTGAGACAACGTTAAGTTAAATTATTGGCCTATGTCGTCCATCAATTATTTAATTTTGATGACTTATTAATGTAATTTTGGGTAAATGTTTATTATCTAAAAATTAAGCGATGCGTTAATTCAATTTTAAATATATAAACAATTAAAATAATTGAACGTTTTATGTAACCATAACTCATTAATACAACCATTATTTTTGTAAAATTAAACACAACCGAAAGATTACTCTCAAATATATCGTTTATACGAGTTTACAGCGTTCAAAATAAATCGGGTTTTAACTATAAGTATTTACTTGCGATATTATATGTTTAAAAATACAATATTGTTGCACTTATTTTAGTCAGCATGTTATATTGTAAATTCTATTAAGAAAAAAATGTTAAGATGACATGACACACATAATATATATATGTATATATATGTATAAGTAGTTTCGCTGCGTTTATGGCTTCCTCCTCCTTTTGCCAATACTGAAACGTCATACGACAATGTAGCATCTTTGGAATGAAAATGTAATTTCAAGTATTGGAACGTTCAAAAGTAGGGCAAAAAGTTATAAATTAATTTCAAATTTGCACAACGCACTGCTGAGTAATTGCATTTTTTAGGCAGATGCACATTTATTATTGTAAGCATGCACTTAAATGTATATGAAATAGTAATAATTATATTTTTACAACTGTCTCTAACAGACAATTTTGTAGACAAACTGTATTTTTTTGTTTTTTTAATTTAGACAGTGCAATAGCTGTTTTATACATTAATAAATTCAATTTAATGTAACGTCTAGTTCTCAAGCAGATTACAAATAATGTTTTAACGCGAAATCTGTTGTTATCGCTGCATCTAATACTAATGAATATACCTAATATAAATCAATATAGAACCTCTCGACCTATATTATTATTAAATATATAACGTGAAATTATCGTTGTTGCGCAAATTTATTTTTCAATATTAATATTAGCTGTTCAATCTGATTGGATGAGGTTTTATGTAGAGTCCATAGTCATTATTTTTTGTACATCAATTCGGATATTTATTTGGTGTTGTGTATTATTATTATCGTTTTTATTTAGTACAAGTTTGAACTGAAATATTTGAACTGATTATATTAGTTTTACAATACTCAGCATTTTATGGATTCCTATATTTGTTAAACTAACTAAATTCAATATATATAAACATTTAATGGTATATTTAAGTGTGTAGATTTATTGAAGAGTAAATAAACATTGTAAAACCAATACTTTCTCAGCTTCGCGTCTAAGTTAAATATAAAACAAAACTAAAATGTCTTGAAAAATTAAACTACAATATTACAGTTATTTTTATAGTGTGAATTTATGTCAATAAAGATTGATAATTAATTTAATAGTGGTTTAATGGTTGCATATGATGTCGTTAAAATAATCATAATTATATTATTAAGCATGGATGTTAGAAGCAATTAGTTAATAAAAAATTAATCTAAAAATAACGTTTTTATGCACCTTAAAAAGTATATAAAATAACCCTCCGGGGGTCTTGATAACCAAATAGGACAGGTGAACTAGAAAAATGTGGGGCGCATTTTTCTACTTGGATATTAAAACCTAAGCTTTCATGCTAATGCATTAAGTTGTCTCTCATAATGCTGTCTCTCCAACCGAACGGATCAGAAAGTGATGGTATGACTTTTTATCGGAAATTAAATTTAATGGATTTCCGTGCCACTTGCCTTAAATTTCATTGCAAATTAAAAAGACTTATTGCTATTCTCTCCAAAGTTTGTTTCATGTAGGTTGCTTCAATTTATTTTGTTAACTACCTACTTGCTTAACATTTAAAGTAATGTGGTGCTCAATTTTACATGACATGCCATTAAGCACTATTTTATTTAGAAGAGAAAAGATGATTGTGCGTGAATTATGAGTTAAGGTGAGTTATTAATGAGAAGAGAATGTTATTATATATTCAGGGGGTCTATTATTGAAAATTTTCTACAATCATTTCGTATACGAAATGTGACTTTCTACTGGTTTTTTAAAACTGTATTCTTGAAATTGCGTTTTCTATTACTCTTTATATTCTCTTACGCATTCGTATACGAATTACGTTATATTACCTGAATTATTATATTATCTAGTCTAAAATCTTGTCAAATATTTAAATATACAATTGGTTTACTATTTATATTATTTCTAAATATTTATGATTACTCTAAATAGTAAAATTAAATTTAGTTAAATGTATACTTTATAAAATATAGTCTATATATTTAGTACAAAATGCACTTTATCAACATTCTATAGTACACTAATGTAATGTTTAAATTTTAATAAATCATTTATTTGGTTGTTTGGTTCTGATTTATGTTCATTATATTGTATTGAAAATATTTTTTAGTTGATAATTAATTACAATATATAATAATACAAAATTATAATTATCTAAGACTTTATTACTATTATGAAAATTATTGGTAGGAAGAACTAACTTAGAAAGTTGTACTTACAGATTAGAAATTTTCGAATTAATTTGTATTTTTTTATTCTTCTCCAAACAGTCTTGCATGCTAATAATTATGGGTATGTAGTAATGACAGCAAATTGTTAAAATATATATATAGCCATATTTTATTTTAGTAATAAAATAACTATTTTAATAGTAACATAAAATATTAAATCTGTGTACTTACATTCAAAAGGATCAATAGGTGCATAAGTTCGCCTAGTTACTTCTCCGTCAAGTTCTCTTTGTTCCAACTCTTCGATAGCAAATAATTGCATTACTAAATCATTATCATCATCCATTTTAAAAAAAAAGTTATGCAGTAATGACAATGCTTAGCTTTTTTAAAACCTATAGTTAGACAAGGCAGACCTTACTTATCTCGTGGGTTTTCGGTCTTTAGTAATAATCTTGCCGAAATGTTCAGACACCGGCAGTAATCACTAAACGATAAATGGATATCGACAAACGTAGTCAACACTAGAGGTGACACATTATTTAAAATAATTTACGGTAAATTCAGTAAAACACATTACACAGTCGACAATGTTGACTATACAATACAAATTGACAACTATTGGTAATTTCGACTTTTAAGATTAAGTTAATGTTTTTGATTATAGTACATTCTCATAAATTATGACACCGTAGTTAACAAAGTACAAACACCGCAAATAGTATTATGTACTATTGAGTACTATGTAATAGTATATGTACAATAATATATCTTATGGATTAACTAGAGAGACTACATAAATAATTTTTATGAAATCTTTCTATTGTAAACAATATCGCATAAAATACGAAAATTATGTGATCACTACGGCGGACAATATATGTGTCACATCGGTATAATAGAAAGTTATACAATATACATAGGTACAATAAAATCCAATGTAATACCATTAACCCTAACCATGCATTTGTTGCATCCAATTATTATTTTTTGGCGTACTACATATGCCCGCGGACTATATATTCTATTAAACATGTTTTGATATATTAAATAACTAATAAATTTGTAACAAATATAAATATAATATTAGATATGTAAGTAATATAACGATGAATTGAGTTTTTATTATCATAACGTGAAACTATTGTTTGATTTTTATAATTATTATCATTTTAAAGATAATAATTTGTCATTATTAAATATAAGTATTTCACGTCATATTGATACTAAACATTTATGTTAATCTATAATAATAATATAGCATAGTAAATTTCATTTATACTCTAAATATATATTTTATGTAGTACACATATTATTTACTATAAATAATATAGATTAAATTATTATTATTGTTATTATGGATTAAAGTAATCGTATAAGTATAAGTATGAGTATAAGTAATCGTTATTCGTACGCGAATCATAGATTCTACTGCCTATACCCCAGTAGTTGCAACGTATACGAATTGGACCCGTAATAGAATGTTATTCGAGTGCTTTGAGTGACCGCAGTAGAAAATTATTCGTGTACGAATAGTCATATAGCACTGCTTTAAATGGTATTCTTGACATTCGCATACGAACATTTCGTATACGAATCGGTCGTATACGAATAATTTTCGAATGGTTTCAAGAATAGACCCCCAGACGCGTGAAGTAGTGAAGATGCGCCCCACGTTTTTCTAGTTCACCTGTCCTATTTGGTTATCAAGACCCCCGGAGGGTTATTTTATACTTTTTAAGGCGCATAAAAACGTTATTTTTGGATTCATTTTTTAATCTACTTTAGTTATTTTGTTCTTTTTCGTTTTCGTATGTACGTATCTATATATTGAAATGTACGATGTTATATAATGAATAAGCAAAAAGCTTATGATTTTAGATTTATTACTGTAAAAATTATCATAAAAGTTGTAATTACTATATAAATTATCATAAAAACGTTATAAAAATACAATTTGGGAACAGTGAACTGTATTGTTAATATGATGGTGTACTTAATTAGCATTACATTTGCAGTCAATGATAAATGTATACAGAGTAAATTGAAAGAATATCCTGTCCTATTATTATAAAACTGATAGCTTCTTGCTATCTCATCGAAGCTAAAATTACAATCCATTGTAAACAAGAAGTGTTCAATCTTCTGAAGTAATAATTGCTAGCTATTGTGCATTTAATAGATTTTCCGGTTTGTCGCTAATAGCGTCTAATTTAAACGATAGCAGTGTCACCAGAGCCAAAGGCCAGACAATGTAATTACATAGAATTATGATTATTTCTATCGAGTTACAAATTTTAATAGCAGTTTATATTTTTACTTTGTTTAAATGTGACCATTTAATGGATACACAAACAGGCCAAGTTGATGTAATTTTCTTTTTTCAATCAAGTCCATAATATTTAGTTGGTATACCGTAAACGGTTTTTGATTCTAAACGAAAAGCCAAAATATAATAAAATTCTGTCTTTGAAGGGAAGTGGGATGCCTGAAAGCGACACATTAAAATTAACGGTGTTACATATATGTCCAAGTACGGACTTGAAGTATGTTCATGTTTCTTTTTATTGACTTACTCAAGTATCCGTGTTTGCCGAAATGACACTTTTAATGAGGTCTCCTATTTTACTGCATCGACCCGTGCGGTATAGGTAAGTATTGTAAGCGTTCGTTCTTGAAAATGTCTTCGTTGTGTTTACTTGTTGGTACTTTGATTACGGGTTTCATAACTTATATAAAATACTCAAAATGGTATCCGGTAATAAGTTAAACACACCAACACAATTTCTACAAATAAGTAATAATTGAAATTTTATAGTTTTTTTTTTTTAAATACAAATTTTAGTATTTAAATTATTTCGTTGGATTTTAGAACAAATATTTACCAATTATTAGTTTTTTTGACATCATTTTTATTATAATAATATTTTTTAATTAGTTAGGTACTGGTAAAATATGCTTTTTTTTTACCAAAACAGTACTGTATATCATTGTGTGCTATATAATAGTTAGCAATAGTAGTTAGACGTTAGTAATAGTAAAACATGTGTTATTATTAAATTTAAAAATACCATTAACAACATAAACAGAATAAGGTTTTGTAATGATTCGGAAAATCGTCTTAATATGTTTATGAATAATGTAATCAAATGCTCGTTAAGTGCTAAACACTGAACAAAAAGGGCAACTGAACTCTCCACTGTTGATATCAGTTTGATGAAATATATATTATCTGTGCAATGAAAGATTAAAGATTATGCATTTACAATTAGCACGTGAAATATCAAAGTTGTGCCGATTTTTTGATTTGTTAATTTAGTGGTAAATATACGAGTATATTACTATGGTAAATCGTTACTAAAACGGTTACAGTCATTTTAAATAGAGTTAATTGTAGTGTAAATTAATAGTAGCGCTATTATATTATCTAGTTAAAATAATATTTATAAAAAAAAAACACAGCATTGCATAATCAAAAGCTATCGCATCAAAGCTAAAAAGGTCTAAGTTAAAATTAAAAAAAAACATTTGAGTTGGTTAATAAATATGATTATAAATTTTTAATTACTATTTTTTTAACATAGCGATTGTTGGTTTTAAACTTTAATTTCAATCTTAACACTTACTTAAGGTAGTTTATAAGCTCCAACTTAAATTGCTACCGTAATTGCATTATGTTAGCATTATTGTTTAAAAGTTTATTATTAGTACATCCATTATTTGAATACCTTTCCATTCAAGTTTTACACAAAAATTCTAAGTATAAAATAGTAGAACTTAATGGATACGTACATTGCTTAAGTCTAAAAAAATGTATTAATTATGACAATATTTTTTTAGGTACTAAACAATTTTTTTTAGATGATAAAAAATGTATAATACTATTTTTATTTGAAAATTATCGACTTTCAGGTATATGGTGACACTAATGCATTTTATAAAAGGCAACATTGGATGTGGAATGTTGGCTATGGGTGAAGCTTTCAAATGTGGTGGTCTATACGTGACTTTCTGCATGTTACTATACGTTTGGATCATCTGTGTATATAATATGCATTTATTAGTGAGCATTATTTGTTGATTTAAAATTTATAATATGAGTGGTAGACACGGTTAGGTTAGGTATTATTATAACTATTTAATAATAATGTTTATAAATTTAAAATTAATAAAATATTCATGTAAAAAATATTTATTTCATACTTCATTCACATTCACTTGGGTTATGGTTTGTTAAATTATACAGAGTGATTCATTAAAGATAAAAACTCATTTTGTAGTTTTACTATTTGGAAACCATTGAGATTAGGTTATTTTACAATATAAGACAATATTCAAATTTTTATCTTTTTGTTTTTTTTCTACAAATCAAGTTGTAACTTTTAAAGCTACTAACATTTTAAAGGTAAGTTTTAAAAGTCGACAGAGCTATGGAGTATACTAATTTGATATGTATTGTAAAATAACATATGCAAAAATGTTTTCAATAAGAAAAACTACAAAATTGCAAATATTTTAAGAAATATTGAGTGTCTTATTTACAATGAATTACCCTGTATTTAGGATAATGTTTAAATCTCTATATTGAGATGTAAATTAAACTTGTTATACTATTTTTTTTATAAGATATATATATATATTCTCATCTTGACATCTCTCATGTAATCTAGCAAGGAGACCTCGGACAATGTTTACAATAAGTACCAATGACATTAAACAAAATATCTGTAACTGTAAAGATGTATAAGAAACCGTTTTATCGGCCACATTACTACTTGTTGATTATGCTTGGAATCACCGCTGAAAAAAAGTTCTATAACGCATAATGTATTTGATATAAATTTTATTTTTTATAGACTTCCATAAGTAAACAAATCCAAATACGAATGCAATCGAAACGTCTTCCGACATTTGGAGAAACAGTGGAAAACGCATTTAAGATGTCAGACAAATGGGTGTTCAGAAGTTTAACGAAATGTATCAGGTGAATTTTTATGAAATCGTTTATTATTATTATCATCATAGTGTTTACAGTATAATATAGTTGAAAATAACTTATTTTTTTTCCTGCAGAAAGATAGTTTTGTACAACATACTTATCACTCAACTCGGTCTATGCAGCGTTTACATTGTATTCATCACGACATCATTGCGAAAGGTAATCAGTAAGACAGCTGACATAAGAGACATTAATTTAATAATTGACAGATTAAATAATTGTCTTTGTTCTACTATAAAAAAAAGTACAACGAAAATATATCATAATATATTAATGGTGATTTTGAAAAGTTTGGAGTTGTGGAAATATCAGGTCGTCCAAACATGAGGTTAATCCGTGATTTTATATAAAATCAATTACCTTCGTTAAATATAATGAGCAAAATATATTTACTGTAAAATTTATATAATACACAACATTAATCAAATATTTTCAAACATTTTTTTCCTCCTCGCCTCGCCTACTAGACCTTTGGCTGGCTTGGGGTCAGACTTATCGCCATTTCTCTGTTCACACTTATATCTTTTCCTGATCTTGGATGAACTCCTAAACTACCTTTCGCTTAATAGCCAAATGAGGCCTCACAATGAAGGTTAAGCTTTTGCAGTACACAACCGTTTCTAATTCTATCAAATCCAATCAGTCAACGTGTGCTTTTTGATATTGTTGTTTCAATCCATTCCATTTTCACCATAAATAGCAGGTACATTTCTGCCACACACAAATCCTGACCTAATCTTTCAAATATTTTCCATCGTTCAGTTGATGTGGCAAAATATGAACTGTTAAACTCCGAATTAGGTTTTTATATTATATTATATATTTTTTTCATTTGATTTCTACAGTTGCTGATCGAGTATGAATACGATATCAATTTCCATAATGTACTGGTACTGACGATGCCTCTGATATTAGGGTGTGCTAGTTTGAGACAGCTCAGATTTATAGCACCATTATCCACAGTGGCGAATTTTGCATTAATAACTGGAGTGTTCACTATAATGTACTATAGCTGTAGAGATCTAAACCTGGAAGATCGAAGGTACTCTTATGGCAAACTATCTGACTTGCCAATGATGTTCGGTATAATCATGTTCAGTTTTGAAGGCATTGGTCTGGTAAGTAAATTAGTATGATATATTTTGTTTTAGTGTCTTTGTATGAGATATTTCATTTTTTAATGTTGGTACTGGTCACAAAAAAAAAATGGCGTACAGTGGTAAGACTGTTATCAGTTGTGACTAATTCCATAAATGGTATTAAAAATTGTATAAAACACACAAATCCTCTGATAATTAATGAAATTATTGTTAAATTTGGTTTAAATAAATAGATAAAATGTATACATAATTATTTTGTTAAATATTTATATGTTGATCAGTAAAGTTATTTATGTGATGTGATTTCGTTATTCAGTTGAGATTTTTATATTTTTAATTAGACAGATATTTACTTATATGAGTTTATTCTAGTTATTGTTTTTTTTTTTTTACAGGTGCTGCCTCTTTTTTCCGAGATAAAATATGATAAGTCGTTCACGTCAAGTTTTGGTGTTCTTAACTTGGGAATGCTGGCAGTGATGCTACTAAACGTACCTTTAGGAATGACCGGCTATATGAAATGGGGCGATGATGTCAAGAGCAGTTTGACGTTGAACTTACCCTATGATGACAAGTATGATTTTTCTGAACCTTAATATTATATGTACAGGTGTATTCATGTTGATCAATTTTAATGTTTTTCCAACAGAATTACACAATTTGTTATCCTCATGATGATATTGGGCATTGCTTGTTCCTACGCACTGCAATTCTATCCTGCCGCTATTATTGTGTACAGTGAAGTGGAACAGAGTTATGGACCTTTTGACAATCCAGCACGATGGGATTATGGTATTAGAATTTTGGTGTGTCTGGCCACGTGTAAGTATTGAATTTAAAATGACTATTCAAAACGAGCTAGTTAAATAGTTAAAATAATATAAACGAATATGTTTGCAAAAAGAAAAATTAAAAAATTGTAATTATCTTGAGGAAAAATGAACATCATATATTCTTAATAAACCACCATTCACCTAGTAAATATTAAATAGTATTATCAACATTGTACTAACAGTTTTACTTTTGGTATTAATGCCAATCTGACTCTTTAGAGATTATTTTCTTTTAGGCTGTACTTAACATAATATTGTGTATTCTATTGGGTATATTTTTATATAATAATTTGATAAATGAGCTTGCAAAACATTTTTAACAAAAAAATAAATAAACCTTCTTATGCCCTTGTAAAAGCTGGGAACTGTCTAAAAAGAATATTATTTTTTATAAGTTTTAACTTAAAATTATTAATTCGTTTTAAAACGTGACACAACTTTTATAATCGTACTTAAATTTATTTATATTAATAAACAAAAAAATAAAATCTTCGTTTTCTTATGGTTTAAAATACCAGAGCTTAATGTTTGGTTTATTTTTAACTGAAAATGTCTTATATATAAATACAATTAAAAAATGTAAAGTCTTTTTCTAAAGCTCCTAAAACGAATATAAATAGATTTAAATATATTATATGATAAAAACCCTATAAAAATATATTAATATTATTTTAAGTACAACAAATAATGAGGGGAAAACATGTAATCAACAGTTCCCCCTTGTTAGTTCTGTATTTAATAAAAAAGAAAGTCAACAAATGATAATTCCACAAATGTAAAATATAAAATCACTTTTATGATTTGATGCAAATCTATTAATGGTAGAAATAAAAAACGTTGACTCATATTAGTATGTCGAAAAAATATTCAATGTAAATTTGAAACTGATTCAATTATATAAAAAAAAAATATATAGCTATATAATATAAAAGTGTATACACTTTCTTTCGAATATGACAGAATATTAAAATTGAATGTTGAAGTGGTCGGGTGATTTATTTTGTATCTCCTGTTAAAAATATTAAAAAGTGAGCAATATTCAGTTTCTATATTATGAGATGTTTTAAAGTAATAAATTAAAGTGTTTTACATTTTATTTTTATTTTAGAGTCTCAAAACAATCGGGTTTTTTTAAGTTTAATCAAATTTATATTGTTTTTAAAATTATTTTCAAATTTAATCGCCTTATGTAAACTGGCTCGAGTATATTAACATACTACTTGAACAGGGTGGTCGAAACAAGTAGAATATTATGAAGTAAGCGAAAAAGCGAGCTGCAGATATTGACCAGAATAATGAAATTACATTTCTCTGGTATATTATATTTTAAATGTTATCTCACCACTGCAACCATGTGAAACAAAACTTGTGATGAATTTAACTATTGATCTGTATAGTTGTTAAGTATTATACAGGTCAGTGCAGTGGTTAACAACCTGTATAAAAAAAATGATTTATTTTTATTCAAAGTGGTCACACTGTCGCTCGCCTTCTTGCAGACTTCGGTTTTCTTTATTTTTACACAACGGCTCAACTAACTAACTAATACATTTTCTGTCCATAAATATTTTAGTTTTGGCTGCTGGTACGGTACCGCATTTGGATTTGTTCATGTCTCTGGTCGGCTCGATAACGTGCGTGGCACTGACCCTGGCGTTTCCTGCTTTGTCCAACATGGCATTTAGGAAAAAATGCAAAGGCTCCTTGTGGAAACCCGCCATTGACTGGATAACCATAAGTACATCTTTGGCGGGATTCCTCACCGGCACCTACACCAACTCGATAGCCATTTACCAAGCGTTCTTACAAACCCACAGCAACGGCTAGACGCTTGCCCTGATAGTTTTTCGTCCAACGGCGTTTAGATTTGGCCTCTGCCACAATCACTATACTTGTTACCTTTTATGATTTTATTTAAAATTAATTATACTAATGATTCCCGAGGGAGATACACCGTACAACGGCCGTGTTGTTAGATTGGCTCATCATACACAGGAGTCCATCGAGGGTTGTCCAGACCCTTTTTCTGAAAAACACCCCCATAGCGTCGCCGCCGTGCTCTTCAGTATTACCATTGGTGTTTTTATGTGATTCCCACTTATTAGTCCCCCATTTTGTGTTATTTGTATGACAAAAACAAAACTATTAAGTGTTTACATATTTTATGATAAGCTAAGTATTTTTTTTTATTTGTTTATTATATCGGATAAATTACCACCAAGTTAGTAATCAAATGTATACTTATTTTGTAATGAAATTTTACATAATAAAAATCTATTGTTTTTAGTCAACACATTGTTACACAGTCATATATTATAATATTTTATTTACCCGTGCCGGAGAACTTGACTTATTTGTATACCTAATCCTACTAAATTTTCATACATGACTTCCATTCGCCAATAAGTATGATATATTTGTATTAAGATAGGCGAAAAATCACCTTTAAAACTTGTTAAAATAATGTTAATATTTAAGTGGTTGAGTTTTTTCAAGTGATTGCAATATGCTGTAATGGGTAATATATTTTAAAGGCCGATTTATATTTGAATGAGTGATTCCATTGTAATTTTAAACCTAACCTAACCTTATGGTTAAGGTAGGTTTAGTTTAAGTGTAATAATGAACTTATTCCTATAAATATAAAATACCAGATTTATTTATTTTTTAATTATGTAAAATCTAATAAATCGGCTATGAAAAAAAAAATAATATTTTAAACATTAGTAAGACTCCAAATTAACGGTATTTACTTCAACATTTCAGTAGCAATTAGTATATTTAAATATCCTATTAAATATTGAGTTGGCTAGAAAAATTCAAAATCTTTATCTAGTTTTCTATGATGATGGTTAAAAAACACATATTTAGTTACAAAAATTAAAAAAAAAAAAATGGTTTTATATCATATATAACTAGGTACACAATAAAAGTTTAAACGTTTTAAATATCAGAATTCAAAATAGTTGATAGATGTCGAAGTTCTAATGATTCTTTAGAAAGATCTCGAAATAGAGATTTGTCGACAACCAATAAATGAACAATGGTAATAGCTAAAAGTGAAAATAAATCCTAGGTTGATGTAAACTTTCTTGTTACAAAACGACCACTGTAAGGAATTTTTGTATAAATTACATTTATGGGTGAAATGTATTGTAGCAATAAATAATTTTTATGTATTTTGTCTGTGTGCAATAAAATATAGAAATAGTTACTAAAATAACATCGTTAGCAGTGGCATCGCTGAATCAAATACATTAATATTTAATTAACCTTGATAAAAACATTGGCAGGGAATGTATATTTAATGACATCGTTATCAATGTAGGTATGTTTAGTTTTTTCTTATCTGTTGCTCTTATCGTATTACGGAAAGTAGAATTAAAAAATTGTAATAAATATGTATGTATAATATATATATATATGTAAATTAATAACTGCTCATTACTCTTCGTGGGACTTTTATTTATTTTAGGACTCACACAAGAGGAGAAAATTATACTAAACGTAGATCTAGTCTTTATTTTGTATATAAAAACCCCAAGAAGTGACTCAACATTTAATATGGATTTTAAAGGCTATTATGGGTTTAGAAACTTAAAATTTAGTGTATGACCTATTAAATAAACACAAAAAAATCTTAACCTGCTCAAAAAAGGAGTAAAATTTTAATCAATACATCATATTTGGACTTCAAACCATATACTTATTTTGAAGCTTCTTGCAGTGAAGAACAGACTTTTAGAATGGAATGTTAAGCGAATGCCTCAATCTAGAGTACTACCACTTGTGTTTAAAAACTCCTTGTTTGTGTATTTATTTATTTTTTTTTTTTAACATAATAATTTTAAATGCATGACGTGCGATTCAGTTTAAACGCCCTTGAAGTATATACAGTGAGACATATACTTTCTGCATGTTTGGTGATAGGGTTTTCTATGGTAGCATTGTACATATAACATCCATACGGCATAGGACTGTTGTACTTGGACGCTATCCTGCTAGTTTTGACCTCGAATCTTCCCTGAACAAAATAATACAATAACTGTAGGTTACTTACAAATCCATATTGTACATATGACTATGAAGATTTTACTTTCATAATCGGACACTTGGCATCCACATTCAAAACATTTCGAACCAACGGAGAAAATATTACATCGGTGAACAACGAAACGCAAAAACCACTCTTGGCGACATTAAAATGTGATTTTATCCAATCGTTATTACTTTTTTGGTAAGTATCAATAGTTAACTGAAAAGTCAGTAAAATGGAGAAAAAAAAATTAGTTGAAATTTGATGAGAAAAAAAGGAAATCAAACAGCAATAGTATTAAATAGGTCAGGTTATGTTAAAAGTACTGGCTAGGTACATATTGTGTAGTAGGGTCAAATTATAGTGCTGAAAATATTGTGCTCACTATTTGCAATAATAACGTCAACTGATAAGAATTACTGTTAACAAGTTGATAAGAATAACTGATAACAAGTTACTGAATAACAGTAGTTTGATGACATTTCTTTGACCACACTGTATTCTTTTTTTTCATTTTTCGGTCACACTGATTTATAACCTATGCCCGTGGAAGCGGATCGCTCAGTCTACAGGAAACCACGGTACAAGCAACGCCGAACAACAGCTAAAGATAGTATGTGCAGGTATTTTAAAACGTTGGCAAACCAGTCAATCTCTTCGAATGGGAATAACCACAAGATGTGTAAATAGTGTAAATAAAAAAAACCATTTACAAAACCCGTTGACTGAAAACAATCAACTTCGACTAAACGCTTTGTTGCTATTCCTTAGACGGTAAAATGTATAGATAAAGTTTATTATTGTGCCAGAACCATTGCATAATTATTTTTATTCCAATATGTGGTATTTGACGTTTAGAAAATGATTCGGTATTTCTTAAGAGATATTGGATGATGATGAACACTAAATATGTATGGAAAATGTTTTCAGGTGTATATTATTTTTGTTTTAAATGTATTAATTGCACAAATCGAACCTGTAAATTATCTTCCCAGGTCATACGAGTTAACATTTCGAAATAACCGTGTCCAGTATTTGTCACTGTTGAATAATTATAAACAACATCCATCATAATCCGATTGCAAACATTGTCACACGGCTGAACTTGTTCAATATTTATTATGTACTGAAATTAATAATAATAATTAACAATTGAAGTCAGTTGCAATAATTAAAATTAAATATCTTTTATTATAACACACGGTCGGCATTGGTAAAACAATAATTTGGTCGTTCCTTCATTGTTCGTTATAAGGATTTAAATCGGTTTAATATAATCTTACCGTATCTGCCATAATTATGCAATACAACAATAGAATAAATGTTTTTGTATTATTAACATGCATGGTGTAAATATTGAATCCTATATGGATCCGAAATTTGATTAACACTGTAGCTTAACTATAATTAAAAGTATTTTTTTTTCTTTGATAAATCAAATATTGACTATATTAGATGTGTAGTATTTTGCATTACAATGCGGTCTACTGTAGGACAAATTATTAAATGATTAAATTTATTTTTACCAAACCTAAAATAAAATATTTTAAATTGAAAAATATGTATTGTTTTCAAAGTATTTTTCACAGCGTTACTGTGTGCTAAATTCTAAATTTGTAAAATTGTTTTTGTGCTTGTGTGTTGATTTAGAGAACTTTTTTGTGTGGGCTTTTACTCATATTTTGTTATTCACTTCGATACGAAACCGTGAAAAATAAAACGCTAAAAACCATGATGAATAGTTGTGTGTAATTTGCATACAGTACTTCAAGGCCTTTTGTATACTTACACATTTCATAGTATGGAAAATCTGGGTACACAGACCATATTGTTAAGTATTTTTTACTATTCAAAATTGTACTCCACATCGATACGAATTTTACTTGTAAATAGAACGCAATAATGTACCAACGGATATTCAATGTATAAAATAAAAACCAGAAAAAACTTGAGCAACTTATATATAATAAAGAAATTATTCACTCATGCTCCGTCTCCACTGTATTGGTGTTTTTGTTTTTTGATTACCGTTAATGGCACAAGTTTTTTATACTTGGTATTATTGCACATAGAAATAGCCAAACCGAACGATGATGCCTGAAATTAAAAAATCTGTTTCCTAAATAACCTAGAAAAGGTGCCCAAGTTACTATCTTAAGTAGTCAAAATTTTGCCTGGCTTTTTGGTACAAAATCCTTTAATAAGTGATTTTCTTAAAAATGATCATTGAAATTAAATTTACAAACAAGACTTGTTCATTCCGTGTAAGTAAACTGAGTTTAGACACAAAACCAAAATTACTATCTTTTTTTGAAATTTTAACGTATACAATCGCTAAGTACACAAAAAAGTAAAACCGTTTCAACCTTTGAGTGCTAAAGCCTCCTATAATATCATTTTACTTAAAAATCTCTTCAGATTTTTTTTTACGTTTTTTACCTCAAACCAAAAATGAGATAAGACTTTCTGGAAGTTCGGTTAGTATTGGAATGATGTAACGATTAAAAATCAGGAAATAATATCGAGATATGTTTAGGTAATTAACGAAACTTTTATTCAAAATAATAACATCTATTTTCTTTTATTCTTAAATTGAAATTGTGGTTTTCAAGATTTGTGTAATAATTAACTTATTTCAATAAAACTGTTGAAAATGGTTTATTTAATTTTGACAAGTATTTTGTATACATTCTGAATAATGAAGAGTAAAACTAAAAAATACAGGGGGAAATTAGTCAGTAGCACTAACAATTTTTTTAGGTAATTGATACAGTTCATTGAAAAATATTATGATTCCTGGAGGTGTGATTTTCATAACATCAGGGCATGTGTATTCTCAAAAGTGAACAAAATTGCTGCGTTTACTCCTGGAATCTATCTGCATTTATACTGTGTGAACATACTCCTATTCTCGGCACGTGCCGTAGGAGTTTTTAAACCAACTGGCCACGAGTCTTCCGTGCAGCGATTTTGATAACGTGGCACAATATCAGGTGGACATTTTCTGTCCTCCAACGCTTGCTTTAGCGTAGGCTGTAAATAAAAAATAAATCCAATTAATTTTTGTAATTTTCGAATAATGCATTTTCTTCAAAAATTACCATTTGTTTAGGATGCGGCACGATTTTACGCCAATATATTTCGGGAACTTTTATTGGTTGCAAATTTTTTGGCCATTCTAGCATTACTTCACTTGTACTGCTTTCCCCTTCAACGGTCTATAAAAATAATTAATGCGGTAATTAATTAGAAAAAAATGTTCTTAAAAATTAGTATTAGGGTGGAAGCGATGAACAATAAGACGGTTGATCGTCGCATTGTTGATTGTTGTAGCCTAACCGATTAACTCCACTTTTTTCAAATTGCGAATAATAGCATGGTTGGATTAAAAAAGTGTATAATTTTCAGTGGCCAAGATAAATAACTCCATAGTTGAATTTTTCACCGCTACAGTGAGCTAAGTATACATTGGCAATTGTACTTGGCGCACTAAGTACATACATTGTTTAAAATAACTTTAACTGCCTATACTGAAAATTTTCATTTTATGGAGTTAATTAGTTTGGCTTTTGAGCGCATCATTTGACAATTTGTTTATAATTATTTCTAATAAATTACTGATTAACATTTTTTTCTAAACCTTCAAACACATTTTGGGCACTTTATAGTTGGAATTTGGATGCTAGCTTATGCGTTTTTTTTCAGTACAGAAAATTGATTATTATTAATCCGAAATTCGACTAAAGACTTTTAGTTAATGAGATTCCACTGTTAAAACTCAACCTATCAATTTAATTAAATAAAAAACGGTCTAACACTGCTTATCAGAAAATTAAAACATAAATATTTCTTGAAAATTACTTAGCTTTAGTAATAATAGCGTTAAATAATTGAATAAATTATAATTACCTCTTTCAAAGAATCCATTGAATTCGCCGCCAGAATGTAATATGTTAAACACATTAGAATAATGATATTTATATTCATTTATTATTACTTAACTCTATCAAGTCTACTACACGAATGTTTCATACGCTCTCAAGAACAGTCAGCTTTGTAAAAGTTGTTGCCAAAATAATATTTACTTAGTTTTGTCAAAGAAAGACGCGTTACATTTTACTGCACAAACACGAGCAATAATAATAAAAAAACACTTCTATCTGTTGAATATGACGTATTACGGTATTTTAATTAAAAAAAAAAACCGATTCTTCGTGCCTTTTTTTAGTGTAGTGAAACATTATACTACACCTTATATAATAGAAAATCGTTTTTCTTTAAATATATTTTTATTTATCGCACATATCAGAGTTACAGTCTGGGGAAATTTAGGCCATTTAAAAACTCTTACAAGGGTAGGTCACAGTGAAAGAATGACGGTTTTTCTTCGAATTCTTCTTGTTCCATAGATATAAATCGCAATTCATCTTAATCGTTGTTATTTATAGTTCTCATGTCATGCAAAACCCTCTGTTGAGGGTTTTAACTGACTTTGACTCATCGTCAACACGTTTTATACATTTTAATAAAATGTTTTGTAATGGATTTAAATCCCAGTTTAACAAGTTGTTTCTATTTTTCAACATTTCTATTGATTCCCTAGTATTAAGTTCTTTAGAGTTATTTACATATTTTAATAATTTTACAGATATATAGGTAGTGCGTCGAGGGAGACACAGTTGTGGAGTATTGAATAATGTTTATTTTTATCAATATAGTAATTTTATTATATAAATGTCAAAATACGAAAATGGATCATAATGATAATAATGAATTTTTATTAAAGAATAAACAAAACAAAAATTATCATATTAAATACACAATATATATAACAATTAACAAGTATACACAATTTATAATAATAATACATAAAGTAAACATATCATATGATTTTTTTATCAAATAGTATATTAAATTACAAAAGTTGATAACACTACCTAACATTTCTTTATCAAGCCAGTTTGTTGTACCTGTCAACATATATAATAATTTCTTTGGTATAATATTTAATAAAATATTTGCTTATTATCTGCGGCTAAGTATCCAACTGTATTTAATTTTGAAATAACGCACTTACCCTATTTTAGTTGTATACTCTTAATGATATGACAAATAATTTCTATTTTTTTTCTACAAATTTACTGTGCAAACATATTAAATAGGGTTTATGATAAATTGTTAAAAAAAAAACAACTTCAAGAAGACATTTTAAATGAAAATGCCTATAAAAATGTTAGGTCGGTATATAAGTAGTTGTAAATTATATGTTTTCCCTCCCATTTTTATATAGACAATCTATACCTACCTCTAAGAGGTAATAAGAGTATAAGCTAAGAGAAATATGAAAAAGATCAGCTTGACGAAAGCAGTCACCCACTGATGACAATTCCTATTTGTGTTTATTTTATTATTATTATTAATGTCTAGAAAACGTGTGTTTGTGTTTGTTGCATGTGTTATATGTATAATAATAATAGATACTAATAGATAGATTTAATACCATGCATTAATAAAAAAAAATAATTATAAACTCAATAAACTTAACCATTTATTTCTATAAACAATTTTTATTTACAATATAAAACAATATGTGTAAATAGAAACAATAAGAACAATATAATTTATAAGAACATAATATATTTTTGTAATTTAAGTAGGTAATGCAAAAATGATGTTTTAATACAATTAAGTAATATTTTTTATAAGAATGAATTATAATATTAAACCTATTTTTTTACTGCATGTTATTTACGGGTTTGTGAAACGTTTGAAGTCAATTTTGGTATTTTTTAGCAGATCCGGTAGACCCCTTTAAGAACTTCAGGTATTTAATATATAGGAATTACACAAGTTGTTCCATTTGTGCTTCACAGTTTCACCTGTTAATCAGAACAAAACATAAAGATATTATGATTTTTGTTTTTTTTTTTTAATTACTTATAGAACTGTATTTGTGTAGTAACCTTGTAGTAAATTTTCAAAACTTTTCCCCAAAAATTTAAGTTTCTATTGTGCAAAAAATGAAAAAATAAAGTCAACAAGACGTTTTTTAATTACAATTATGATTTTTACTTACTTGTTTGATTGAGTTGCTAAGAAATTTCAATATATAGCACAATGCAGCACAACAAAAACATAGAAAACGCTCCTGGGGCAATCCAAGACCTGAAGGCACAGAAAATCAGACACATTCCTCAAAACTCGAGGACCAAATGGAGAGTTTGAAACTCCACAAAATACTTCAACAGCATCATCCGAAGAGAGCAAACCAAAATAAAGAGAAAATAAAGAGAGAAAACCAAAAAAAGAATTGAGCAAACACCACTCTTGCAGCATGAACTAGACGCGGAGACACCGGAGCCTTAGATGATGAAATTTGGCAAACGGCAATGTTTCTGGGCGTTCTTTCACTGACGGCTTGGAAAAACTAATTCCATCGCCTGTTTCAGAAGTTCGAAATTAATTTAATTGAGTTACAAATTGGCCACAAATAGTAATTATTATAAAATTTTAGGTATATAATACCGCAACATGATTAGCAAAAATATTAAGCTACAAAATTAATAGTGTGTGTTATTAGACAAATTTTGGAAAATATTGTACTTACTCGCTCTACGATGGCTAGTTTAGCTTCCAATTTTTCTATCCGATCGGCTGCTTTGGCTAAGTGGTGTTCGGATATAGCCTGAACGGCTCTGACCACGTGAGACTTGGCTCTCAAGTTGGCTTTAAGCTCGGCCATCTCCTCTTCTTTGGCCATATCTAATACAAAAAAAAATATACTAATAATAAAATACGGTTTATTATCTAAATCTTTCCAATGACTTTTGAACTGACATAAACATAATGTATTGAAACAACTCTTTTGTTTACCTTTTTCAAACTCTTATAAGCAACCGCTCGCTATTACATTAAAATTAAATTATATTATAATAATTTTTTTAAAAATATTATATAAGGAACTTGGCATAAAAACTGTAGCTTAAACATACCTATCTACTATTCGACGAAAACCTCCAATGTTGTTGTACGAATTTCTATTTATTTAGCATTTTAATATATTAAACACTTTTATTATAACAACAATTTTATAATAAACTACAAAACTGATGGTGTGTGTTGTATTAGACAAATTTTGGAAATTATTGTACCTACTCGTTCGGGCTAGTTCAGCTTGCAATTTTTCTATCCGACCGACTGCTTTGGCTAAGTGGTGTTCGGATATAGCTTGAACGGCTCTAACCACGTGAGACTTAGCTCTCAAGTTGGCTTTAAGCTCAGCGATCTCCTTTTCTTTGGCCATATCTAATACAAAAAAAAAAAATTCTAATAATGAAATACGGTTTATTTCCAAATCCTCCCTGATAAACCTTGTCGAATATATTGTACTTACCGTCCCTGACCAAGTTCGCAATGTCGCGTTGAAGTTTAAGTGCAAGTACACTGTGGTCGGCCATGATTGATTGGCATTGTGCAGTTTTTGCAACGATCCCAGTTAAACCGGCCTTGACCACCTGCAGTTAATTTTTCAGCATTGCGTTTTCTTTCTGGACTTTAGCATTTTTCATGCACAGTCTTTTCATTTTTAGCTGGCCGCGTACTTGAAGCAGAAAAACAAATTGTTAAAAATTAAATTTTTACAATTTTTTTAATTTTAACATTTACCAATGTATTGGCGCTTGACAGTCGCCAGTTTCATTTTAAGACTTTGGTTTTCGTCGACAAGTTTTTCGTTGTCGTTCTTGACATGGGCCAAATTCGAGATAAGTCCCTTTAATTGGTCTTTTATTTGGTCTCGTTCTTGAAGCACATCACCTATGGCTTGATTGCTTTGCAGAACATACCTGGCTTCGTCGCATTGGGCCTTTAACCCAACGACAACGTTAACAAGCTGTTGCCTGTTAAAGTTTTTGTCGGGTTGTATGCAAATATTGTAAATATGTTTCTTCTACATGCGTTTTATAGATACAATATTTAAAAGAAAATTGTAAAATAATTAAAAATAAATGGCTAATTACGATTTAATAAAAGTATTTAAAAGAAAAAAATTATAATCCGATAACGATATTTAAGCATTTGTTTTATCCCCAGCTGTAATAGTAAATAATATTGTAATATAGTACAATTGCTACAACGGTAAACTATTAGCTGATATTGAATACAATTCTAATCGTATATATATTTATGTGATCCTAACCAATCTGTTGGACAATTTAAATTAATTAAATCAGAATCATTGAATAATTTAAAGGTCTGGCCATTTTTTAGATTAATTATAATTAGCGTTTCTTTTGCTGACAATAATTAGTAGTCAATTTTAATTGATACACCATATAATATACGATATTCAATTAATTGTTCAAAGTTGTTTCAAATTTTAATAAATGTAACCGTTGAAATATTTTTTATAGCTATAATAACAAAAAAAAAATTTTATTCTGTCCAATAATGTATTTTATTCATTTTTCGTTTCAAAATTTTAGCCAATATCCAAGCCAAAAAATATGCATAAATAAATTACATTTTAACCATTTTTTAAATATTTTACATCAATTTATAAGTTTTAAAGGCTGCTGAACCAACATTTTGCATCAGATTTTAGATTGGTCCCTAATTAGGGACGTTAGGGGACCATGGGGCATATTTTTAAAATTTAAGTATTTTTTAAATGTCTTACAGAAATTTGAATAAGTAAAACTGTATTATAAGTAAAAATAATTATTTGCTAGATTTTTTATTGATTTGTATTATGACATTAATCAATAAGTTATCCTAATTTTGTCTCGACAACAGGTATAAGTCTTCTACATATTATGATAGGAAATTAGTATTAATATCTTTTTCGTATAGTATATTAAATCAGATAATTTGTTATTGCTTTTATAAAATGTGTACTAGTAGCATAATATCTGTTGCTTTTTGTGTGTTTTTAAACCGATATATTCGTACTTAGATCACCTTAATTTATTTTAGTTTAGTATGAAAACATATTATTATTTCAATAATACACGTGCAAAATATTTTTCAGTACACTTCATTTTTTACTATTAATATTATTTAAATTCAATTTTTCCATAAAAATATTGGTTTTCTGTTTGTTATTTTGTTTACTAAACTTTAAAATTATTATAATCATTTTTTGATATTCATATATTGATAATTAATTCACAAAGTTTATTATTTACCATTTTTTTCGTTTTTGGTTAGTTTTTTTTTTACCAGTACTACAAATTTCAGGCTTAGTTTAGGGTGAAATTACATGGAACAAATATGTCGTATAAGCATTGTATCACCGAGAAAATCAGTTAGTAGCCACTGTAATAGTTCTGATTACTGGTACCAGAACTATTAAGAAATTTATTTGTTGTTCGTCGTCGAAACCAATTCAGGAAGATGTTTTTTAAATAATTAAAGACTTTTTAAATATAAGTTTGATTTTTATTAACACTTGTAAAACATAAAAAATGGACAATCTGTCACAGAGTAGTATACTAGTTGAGTCTGGTTTAGCAATGGATCCCACTCCTATTTATATGGACATGATAATTTGTGTAATGTGTTATTGTGGGAATTTGTGTAGGCCTTAGCTTATTGATGGGCGAACGCCACAGCGGACGCACATCGGTTGATTATTTTATGTTTATGGTGTTTGTGTGAAGGGTGTAGAAGGTTATGTATATAACACCACATTTGTCTGAAAGATAACTGAATATTAACATAAAATAGTAGCAAAAAAAAACAGTTAGTAGTAGTAGTAGTAAAAAACAGTTTTACAGACTTTATTTGGCTTGTTAAGGCACAGGCTTTGTGTGAGTTAGCTATATCATTTATGAGTTAATAGATCTGTACTAACTGATCAGTACCAACCGACTTTTTGGGATTCCGTACTGCCAATCTACTAGCGGCGACTGTTTGAGTTTACATTATAGTACACAAAAGAAAGATTTTATGATATATTGGGCCAGGTAAAATTAAGTAAAACGATTATTCTTGTAATATTGAAGTATATATATTTTCAAAACATATTATATAGTAGGTACACAATACATAATATCAAATATTAGGTAATATACTAATATATTTACTTATCATCGTCAGTATCCTGTCTATAATCGTCAGTACCCGGTCCAGCTTCGGCAAAATCCGTTGCATCTTCGACACAACCTGATCCAGCTTCGTCCTCTTCATCTTCGGCATTATCCTCTTCATCTTCATCCTCTTCATCTTCATCCTCTTCGTCTTCGGCATTATCCTCTTCATCTTCGACCACAGCCTCATCTACAGTATCTTCTGGAGGTTCTGGCCAAACCGATTCACAAAAATTTTGATAATTAATTCTGCCATTCTCAGTAGGTCCTGAAAAATATTCCAACGATTACAACTGAAATTTTCAACCCTCCGTTGCATACAAACACAGAACAAACAGAAAATAAACTATATCGTTTTAACTTAGACTCTTCTGGGATGAGATAAAATCATGCTCCACATCTTGAACTTGACATCAGAAATAGACAGTTCGGGTAGGTGTAGGGAAATTCTCATTTTTCGTTTATTTCGGTTAAACTGTTCACTCGATAACGCGGAAAATGGCGACGGCATTGTTGTCGGCGTAGGAAATTTAATAAATTAACAGTGTAGCCATGAACCGTAGAAAAATTAAAAAAACGAAATATCTGCGTTCTGGCATCACTGCCTTTTTCAACACGATTGATCGTTTTTTTATAAACTCTAAAATTCCCGGCTTCTGTTTATTCTGTGATACAAGTGCATTTTTTATTTTGATGTTTTGAATTGTATAATTACAAACAGTATAAATGACGCAAAACATTTATTTTAAAATTCATTTTTAACCTAACACCACGATTTTATCTTATCCGAATATGATAATCAAAGCATCAATACGGTTTTCATAAAATATTAATTACAAACATAATATAGGAAAAAATTAGGTTAAGTTAACTCATAACCCTACTTTGGGCACGTAGTTCATAAATAAATGTTAATACTTACCAAAATATATTCTTCCATCAAATTTTTTAAACTGTTCTGGAGTAATTGTAGTCTCTCCGGGTCCAAGAAGAGCATCAAAAGCTGCTCTTTTCTAAAATATCATTAACATTTGTATTAGTATTTAAATTAAGACAATTTAAAGTTTAAATTACTGTCAGCGATGCCAGTTTTTATTATTTATCATTTAAAAAGTATATTCTTCTTTCATTTCGTTAAAAATATAACTAGTAAAACATTCTACTTAAATATTTTTATGTGAGACTGGACGTTTTTTACTTAAGTAGTAAAGCATAACAATACTTTTAAAATAATGAGTCACTTGAAATATATTTTAATTTAGCGCATCAACAATTATTTTGTTTTAAGTATATTTTTAATTGACTACATTCGTTTTTATATAAAATAAATACATTTGTATTTAACCGATTCTAATCATACATCCATTATTTAAGATAAATTATAATTTATAGTTTTTAATTATATTTTACTTAAGAATGTATTTATTTAAATGTTTCATATAACCTTATATATTAAATAATTTTTAAAAAATTTCATATTATTTGAACTTTTATTTAAATAAATAATTGTTTATACCTCGTTAAAAATTGAAAGTTTATTAAAATATTTTTTTTTTATATTATTATCAGTAAGTATCGTGTAAGCAGAATATATTAAACGTCTTTTTATAAAGTTTGTTGTTGTGATATGTTAATTTTTAAATAAATACATTTTGTTATTATGATGAGTTTTATTTGCTAATAAATATAAACAAGATACACTTTATAAAAGCCCATGGTTCACTGTTGTGTACATTAACTCATATAGTAAATAATTAATACGATTTTAATTTATAATATCATTTTTTATTTATATACATTTCTGTTTTAATAATTTATTTCAATTTAAACTCTGCCTAGGTCTGTTTATTACTCTGTGGATTATTTTAGATTTGGCATTAAAATTATTTAAAATATACAATTATACAAAAATAACATATAAAATATATTGGACACATATAGGCTATCTAACCCATTATTTGTTATTTTTCCAATTTTCACGGTTTCACCTCCCAATTATCTCCAAATAAGATGTTAAAAAAAATACCGGTAAAACAATTACGCTCTATGATGAGAACCATTATATGCTACAACAATAAAGATTGTGTACACTTATGTTTATATATAATTTTATTGTGATACTCTTCGATCACTTTGCTATTATAATGAATTATTACTTACCAATTCTTCAGTTTCCCCTGAAGTGTTTTGTACTAAAACACAAACTATAGCAAAAAAAACGAGTACTTGTATTTTATTCATTTTATTTTAATGGTTGAAGTGTAAAGTTAAAAATGATTTGAACTAAAACTGAGTATGTATTTACTGTTACGTTGAGGACAAACTTATGATAGTTTTTTGGAATTAATATGAGCCTTATATAGATGTAGATGTGACTAAAGTATTTTGTACATTTATTACATGTATACATGGTTTTATGTTTATTCTACCAAATAAATCATTTCAGGGATAAACAAATTCTGCGGAAACTCGAAAACAACAATATGTACAATGTTATAATAAACAAACTAATGGAAGTTTATCGATCTACATACATCGAACAAACAATAAATTGTTTTTTACTGAAATATGTTCGTATTAGCAACATTTGTACAAATAAGACCCAATGTTTCAAGAACGGGGTCGCAGACAAGCCAGGGCAGCCCCTAAAATCCAAAAAAGTACCAATAAAATATGATATAAAAAAAAAAAGATTATTTATTACATGTTTTTCTGTTTTTTCCTCATAATTAAAAAAATAATGTTACCGTTAAAAGGTATAATAGGTAATACAAGCTATTAAATAATAATGGCGTTAGACATGTTTGAGAAATTGTATTTTATAATTATTAACAAATTTATAAATAATATACGTAGAAATATAAATTATTTTGATGTCCATATCACGCATTTTTTTTCAATTAAACTACTTTTTATTTATCGGTAATTAATTATATAAAAAAAAAAATGCCAAAAAATAAACAATTATGTTCTCTACCGCTCTTGATGTGGAGCTTTTAAAGTAGGCCAAAATGTGAGTTATTTGAGGCTGATGTATGTTAATTGTATTGGTAATTGAATCAAATCATCATTGTCAACGATGAACAATTTTTTTTTGGGGGGGTTTCAAGATTGTCATAGATTTGTTATCTACAGACTGTTTTGGTTCTAAGGTCGTCTAATTTTACATTATCATAGAGTATAACATTTTTGAAAAATACACTAGTAAGTACCAACTATGTTCACCATATAATGCGCACATATGTTTGCCATATAAAATTTTACACACAAAATAAAAATATCTGCACACATAGCAAAGTTTACAAATAATACCATACGAAATGTTATCGAAAACGAGTATAATTTTTGATGTTTTTATAGGTTTTTTGTTAAAATGTTCAAACATTTACCAGAACACAAGTTATATTAGTTATAAAAAAAGAAAAATAAGAAATAAACAACTCTTTCTGGGAGTTTAAAAAAAATAATGGTAATAATAATAATAAAAAATGTACAACAGGCAAAGTGTAATGATCCCCTTTTATTTTTTTTTTTTTGAGAAAATTGTATATATTATTGCCCCACTCTAAATCTACCTTCTGCCTAATTATCAAAACTTAAAGCCTAAGACCTTATCTAAAAAAGCGAATTAAAGAAAAAGGGTCCACCCAATCCTAAGGAATGGATTTACTATGTGTTTTTGGTTTGCCAACATTTTCCGGTAGCACTATGTCCATAGAATATTCCGTTCAAATCATATTACATTCTTGATAGTGTCTTAAAGCATTGGTAATCGTGATTAAATTATTACTTCGGTATTTGATCAGGATAAAACTATAGGCAGAAACGACCAAATATTGTAAATATGTTTCTTCTACATGCGTTTTATAGATACAATATTTAAAATAAAATTGTAAAATAATTAAAAATAAATGGCTTATTACGATTTAATAAAAGTATTTAAAAGAAAAAAATGATAATTCGATAACGATATTTAAGCATTTGTTTTATCCCCAGCTGTAATAGTAAATAATATTGTAATATAGTACAATTGCTACAACGGTAAACTATTAGCTGATATTGAATACAATTCTAATCGTATATATATTTATGTGATCCTAACCAATCTATTGGACTATTTAAATTAATTAAATCAGAATCATTGAATAATTTAAAGGTCTGGCCATTTTTTAGATTAATTATAATTAGCGTTTCTTTTGCCGACAATAATTAGTAGTCAATTTTAATTGATACACCATATAATATACGATATTCAATTAATTGTTCAAAGTTGTTTCAAATTTGAATAAGTGTAACCGTTGAAACATTTTTTGTAAAGCTATAAATAACAAATGAAAAATACTATTCTGTCCAATAATGTATTTTATTTATGTTTCGTTTCGAAATTTTGGCTTAGCCAATAGTTAGGCCAAAAAATATGCATAAATTAATTACATTTTAACCATTTTTTAAATATTTTACATCAATTTATAAGTTTTAAAGGCTGAACCAACATGTTGCATCAGATTTTAGATTGGTCCCTAGTTAGGGAGGTTAGGGGGGCTAAGGGGCATATTTTTTAAATATTTTACATAAATTCAAATAAGTTAAACTATATTATAAGTAAAATTAATTATTTGCTAGACCTTTTAGTGATTTGTATTATGACATTAATCAATAAGTTATCCTATTTTCATTTCGACAACAGGTATAAGTCATCAACGTATGATAGGAAATATTAATATTAATAAAAGTATTGATATCTTTTTCGTATAGTATATTAAATCAGATAATTTGTTATTGCTTTTATAAAATGTGTACTAGTAGCATAATATCTGTTGCTTTTTGTTTGTTTTCAAACAACCGATATATTCGTATTAAGATCACCTTCATTTATTTTAGTTTAGTATGAAAACATATTATTTGAATAATACACGTGCAAAATATTTTTCAGTTCGTGTATTACAACCTAGTTTGTACTAAATTAATTATAACATTATAAGATTTACATTATTTTGTATAAAAACGTTAAATAATATGATATTCTGATAGCTTGTAAAACAAGTAAAGTAAGAACATGTGGCTGTAAAGATGAGTAATTGGGGATGATATTAAAAATTCGTTCCCTGAACAATATTGTTATACAATAGACATGGTTATACGTGGTTTGAAATATATTTTTGGTGTTAACTAAAACGTATTTGTTTGTTAGTATCCTATCAAGACGAATTCATATAGTATATTTAATCAGTTCGTTAGGGATTGCTTTTATAACATGTGTACTAGTAACATAATAACTGTTGCTGGACTTTTGTCAAACTGATATATTATTTACTACAACTTAAGATCTATGAGAGGCATCTGTCTTTTGGAATTTGTCATCTCAATTCACCCCAAACGAGTTCATCCGTACGCAGAATTATATTTTTATTTTAACAGATTTTAATTTCTAACAAGTTTAGAAAAGCGTAATAAAGAAAAAAGGATATAAAGAGATCTCCTCCACAACAGTATTGTTCAGGGAACGAATTTTTAATATCAACCCCATTAACATCTTAACAGCCACATGTTCTTACTTTACTTTTTTTACAAGCTATCAGAATATCATAATATTTTAACGTTTTAATCAACGTTTTTTCTAGTTATACAAAATAATGTAAGTTTTATAATGTTATAATTATTTTAATACAAACTTGGTTGCAATACATGAGCTGAAAAATATTTTGCACGTGTATTATTCAAATAACAACATGTTTAATAAGACTATCCATATGTGATATGCTAGTTAAAAAAAAAAATATATATATATTTATGTTATAAATTGATTTTAAAAACCAAGTGCTAACGGGGGTGCAAGTTTTTTTAGTTGTAATTTTAGGACCTTTTAATTGAAAATTTGCCTGAAGCTAGAACTCATATGTATCCACCACCTTAATTCTAAAAATACTATTATAGTGGTGGACGGCCGCCACCGCGATTTCGTGTGGTCATTGTCTTGCCCTTTGATTATATAAACGTTTTGAATTATTTTTCATAGTTGATAATAATTATTAGAGTTGGAATATTTTATTTTAGCTGGTAACATATTTCCGAAACTACGTGGGTATCATATTTTTTAACATTTGTTTGTGTTTTTCAACGCAGTGTCACTATACAAACAAGTATGTAAATTATTTTATACTAGTTTTAACAAAAAAACTGTTATTTTTTTAGAACGTATTTCGTTTAGTCGTTTATGTTTTTATATGTTTGAACTATTTTCTTGCACGACAGTACTTTATATTTACTTAAGCTATACCAATCACGTACATTCGAATAATACCATATTGTTGGAGGAGTGTTTATAATTATTTGTTTTGTTATTATACCCCTCGAGACATATTGTAACTACATTGAAATTAGCGTTTAATTAGCATAATTATTATAAGTATACAATTGGAATTTTTAGTTTTAGCTAAAATCCCCTTGTTGTACAGAAGCCAACGATATATATGTAAGTGTTATTATTGTACACATTATATTATAACATTATGCATGTGGTTTTTTTCAAGTGTCCATAAATAATAAATGGATAGTCTTCCAAAAATATTATAGCTGAACGTCATAAAGTATAAATCACTATCAAATATACTTCAAGTACTATCATGTTTGTTTATTGTCTCTGTTATCCTATATCTATTCTGCACTACTTTCACATATTAATCAAGCTAACAATTTAAATTTCTTGCTTTTAAATTTGTATGAAGCGACTTCACTTTATTTAGATTGTTTATCTAGTTTTAGACATGCATTATTGGCATGTTGCGACAATTGCCTTAAACCTCATTTTCACCAAACCCAATTACCATCTCCCTTGTTTTTTTTTTTTTATTATAAAGTCGCAGCTAAGCAAACTTAAATTCTTTCATAAAAAGTTGAAATATATTACCCAAATGGGATAAACAATGGTGAATGGTTTTTTTTTTGTTTTTTCTAAATTATAAGTGCGAAGGAGATCTTTATTTCCTTTTTTCTTTATTACGCTTTTCTAAATTTGTTAGAAATTAAAATCTGTTAAAATGAAAATATAATTCTGCGCATGGATGAAACTCGTTTGGGGTGAATTGAGTGAGATGGCAAATTCCAAAAGACAGATGCCTCTCATAGATCTTAAGTTGTAGTAAATAAGCAGAAAAATATTTTGCACGTGTATTATTCAACTAATAACATGTTTTCATACTAAACAAAAACAAATAAAGGTGACCTAAGTACGAATATATCGGTTTGAAAACAAACAAGCAGATATTATGTTACTAGTACACATTTTATAAAAGCAATACCAAACGATCTGATTAAATATACTATAGAAATTCTTCCTGATAGGATATAAACAAATAAACATGTTTTATTCAGCAGATGTTCTTTTAGTACATTACATACAAGTTCTAACTTCAGGCAAATTTTCAACTAAAAAACTCAAAAAACAAAAAAACTTGCACCCCCTGTTGGAGGGGGAGGGGGTTGAGAAATGGGTATAATTTTAATTTGAGACTATTGCCGTTTAGGGGCACACCAAATAAATATTCCTTATGGATTTTAACTGGATTCTTGATCTTTTTCCCAAATTTTAACTGCGAAGAAGTGAACTTTTCCAAATTCCCCCCCCCCCCACCACTTCCAGATACCAACTAGATGAAATTTTTTGACTTATAGAGTTGCTATTCGAAGGAATTGGTCCAGTATTAAAAAAAGGTTACAGTGTATACAGACACAAAAAAAGCCCACATCATTGTAAAATATCAATGCCTAAAATATACTACTGTCTACTATTAAACATGTCTTTCACTCGGGTGACCTTTTGACAGTTTCCGAGAAGGTACTATTGGGAGTCCCGAGAGGTTTTTCAATATAGGAAATATTTTACTGCGACGCCCTCCTAGTATTTATGTTTTGCCCCGTGGCTAGTTGGCACCGTCAACACAATACACACCTTCGTCACAGAATAATCAGAAGGGAAACTTTCAAAAATGTATTACTGCTGTCAAACGTATATGTATTCTCATCTGCGTGGCAGTGGAAACAGAAATATAAAAATGGCTAGAAACGTGCATTAAGTCTATTTGTTTGAGTGTACAATTCTTGAATAGTTTCTTAGTAGTACCTAGTTTGAAGGTAAGTAATTTATTTATGTACTCCAGCCCCATAAAATAATTTTTAAATATTTAAGGTTAAAAAAAATAATTATTTTGTTTTTAAAGGGTTATTTAAAGATATAACAAAAGAGACTAAGTGATACACAGTCTTTGTATAGTAATTTGACAATATTTCTAATTTTCTTAACGGTTTTTATAACGAATTTTCTTAAAAATGAAATATGTGTGGTAATTATTCTAAATTGTAATTAAAAGATTATATGAAGCATGATGTTTTAGTCGGTTTTATAATACTTAATATTATTGTTTTTTTAAGTTTTACTAAGCAAAAAATACTGTAACACTTATTGAAACTTAACATAAGTAATAACAAGTATAATAAAATATCCAAACGCCTAACATTAACATTGGTATTTTATTGTATTGATGGAATTATAAATATTTTTTTTTTAGATTTGAAGATAATTTAACAAATTAAGCGACATTTTTTTAGCTAAGAAATGCCTTTGGTGAGAAACTCGCGGTAATTTTTTTCCCAACCACTTTACATTTTACACACTATACAAATACATATTCAAATGTTGTATTATGTGAGAAACCCGACTGAAATATAACTAATCAAAGGATTTAGAGCAAACGGGTAGTTAATAAGTAAACAACTAAATGCACGTTACGTTATTGTACAATTACCATATAATTATTACATTTCTATGATAAAATACAATAAAAACAATATCAGCTATTTGTTTTTTTTTTATATATATATCATAATATAATATAATATATGTATTATTTATAAGATTAATAATCAAATATCACAAAAATTCAAAATCAAACAAGACTCCATGAACATAAAACACATTAATTCGTACATAATCATCCGTCCGCATGAATCGCACACAGTTTTATCGAAAAACAGAAAAACAAATCTAAACGAAGCTTTGTCGACGTTCACGTTTATCAATTTTTCACGAGTTGGTCATGAAATCCAGTTTGAAAGAACATATTATTTACACCTTAACAAATTACATAACCGAATTGATTATTATATTTTAATATTCAAAATTATTGTAGTTATCATTATAATCATAATAATAATAATTATTATTTATGCATTTTTCAAAAAAATATATAAATATAAATAAGTTAAAATAGTTTTCAAATCTAAACAGAATAATTAATGAATCAGTCAACTGGTTTCAAACGTTAATGCAACTTTAAATTGTCTCAATATAATTATTATTATTATTGTTAAGTCGTACACATCATAATATCGGATGAATATTAAATTTATATATATTCAACAGTATTTATTAACAGTTATTTATAATTAATAAATACTTAGTTTTCTTTTTTTTGTATATATATATATATATATAAGTATATATAAGTGGAATTAGGCACATTATTACAGGCTGAACGATAAAAAGGAGAGAATTGACGTTAGTTGATGCATAACCGGTATAATAATACAAATTCTGGATATTTACGGGTAGTCCTTAAATATTTTGTTTGTCAATCATTTAAATAATTTTGAAGGCCAAGGCACAAATAATATTTATATATATATATATATATATATTTTTTATACATATATATAATAATTGGAATATCTATACATTTCTCAATAGTTATTTATCAAAAATAAAATTTGAGTCGATTTGTGATAACGATCAATTTTCTCATGTATATATATATATACAGTTGTTTATATATTAGTAAATTATACTTAAATCATAAAACTAAACAGTTACAACAATTAATGGAACTAAAAATGTTTAACACAACGTCGTAAAATCAAGGCAAGTAAAATAATTTAACACTATTGAGCTTCAATATTTTTTTTCATTTTGCATATTAATTCAGTGACTAAAACATATCATAATAAATTTAACATAAAAAAAAAAAAAATCAACAAACCAATAGTTTAATAATATTAATTTTAAATTAAAAATATTATTTTTATACATATATATTTCAATAAAAATGTTACGGTTTTATTTAAAAAAAAAAAGATGTACAAAACACAAATTGTCTTCAAATAAAATAAGAGTATAATATCGACTATTAGGTGTAACTTTTTCTTTTAAGACATCTGCGTCGTTAGCCAATACTTAAACTAGTTGTTTATCGTAATCTCGTACGTTAAGTAATTATACAATTTAAAATTAACTTTTGCTTACGATTTCCCTCCCCTTAGTACACGTGTTTTAAAAACATTTGATTTAAGCTGTTTCATTTTAAATTTATACTTGACAATAACGATTGGTATACTACAAAAAAAAAATCAGTAATTACAGGGTGGAGAAATAATAACTGAAATATTAATAAATTCCGATAAATCGTACATATTGCGCGAGTGTATTAACAATATTATTAAATTAGCCTTCCATGACTAGCACTAAGGGAAATTAGTTCCTAATTCCACTTTGAATCTCATTTGTATTGTTAATTTAGCTATTAAGATATTTAAAAAAAGATAACAAATATATACACAATTAATAAAAAAATATACAATTTGTCAAAAGAAAAAATTAATGTCATCCCAGTATCCTTCCAACTACAAATTACATTTTTAAAACGATCTTGAAATGTATAAATTAAAAAAAAAATTATTACCATTATCAAGGCATTTGAAAATAAAGATTACAAAATAACACAATATAACCCATTTGAATTATTATTAAATAACTAAAAACAAAAAAAAAAAACAAACAAAATACCTAATGGGTTTTTATTATGAGCTTAATTTTTTTTCTTCTTATTTTGTTATACATTCTATTAAGCCATATACCTATACTATTAAATAAAACAATAAACAACAAACATAACACATATATGGCCATTCAATACACTGGGAAATTGTATCAACCACAATGTAACAATTAACAAATTCAATAAAATTAATATAATAATAAATAAATAATAATTATAATGATAATAATAATAATATAATGATAATAATAATAATGATAATAATTAATAATAATAATAATAATAATAATTAATAATAATATTTTCGTTAACTATTTCTTTTTTCAAACCTTGAAAATTTGTTGAAACTTTCAGCTACCAATAAACAAAGATCACAATTTATTTACAATTCATTAAGCATGTCTTACAGTTCATCGGTTTGCCTATTAATAAGATAGAAAAAAAAAATGACAAATCATCATGGTAACTAACAGAAACAAAATATGCAAGCAGTTTTTGATTCGAAGGTTTTAAAATTTGGACATAACAATATTTTTTTTAAACAACGGTTGAATGAAATTATAAATTTATCGTTTTTACTTTACATTAGCTTAATTGAATTTTTTGGTTGGTTGTGTTTGATTTAAAAAGTATTTTTGTTTGTATTAAATGATTATGTAAAAGTCGTGTTCGGAAAAAAAACATCGTCTGTAATGGATATTGAGCAATATCGGCTACGTAAGCCATTAGTAGTAAATAATTCATATTTACACACAACAAATATCCATCACGCTTTACTTTTCTTTCTGATAATTACTATTTCAGAATTTAACAGCAAATGGATGCATGGAAAAAGAAACAAACTAAAATGAAAAAAAAAAACCCAACCTGTGACAATTTACTAAAAATTTTTGTTTACCTATATTATTATTATGAAGAGAAGAACTTTTATCTTATACATTAATATACAATATTATTTAACTAACTTAACACAGTTGGTTGGCCATACTTCATTATGGCCTTGGTAAAAAATAAAATACTAAGTGTTTTTATCATTACTAATAATAATATATCGAATTTAAAAGAAAAATTATATATTTTTTTTTTATACTAAGAAATAGGTATATTGATAAAACTGAAATGATATCGAGGATATGATAATAATATAGTGTATTGAATTCTTACTTAAAATAAATTGTGATGCTTAATCTTGTAATATTCAATTTAAGTCCATTACATAATATTTAAGTTGAGTAAATAAAAATAATAACAAGAAAAAACATTTTTTTTCGTTTATTTTTTTTTATAGGTTTTTTTTGGTTTTTTATTTATTTATACAACTAAAATATTATTCTTTTCGGTGTTATTTTAGGGATGTAGTATTTTGATAGGAAATTAAAACAAATAAAGATAAGTAATAAGAAGGTATGAAATAATAATTAACATTTGGTCCTTAATGAATATGAACATGTTTTAACTGTGCCGTTATTGTTATATTGGGAATACACAAAAAAAAGTTTTCAGGGCAAGAAAATATAATTGAAATAATTAATTTAACAACAACACAAAAACGTAAGAACCGATTTCCAAAAATTACTCACAAGTGGTACTTAGAAAATAAAGACAAAACAAAACAACATTGTTGTTATTAAATATGTATAAAAAATATAACAACACTGTGATAAGCGAGATTAAAACAAATATATTCGAATCCCTCGTACGTCTAAACAACCAAAATAATAATACGCCCAATTGTCGTCTTGTTATATATATATTGTGATTGGTTTTGTGAAATTTTCATAATTTTGTTCGTAACTATTTAGTCAAATTTAACAGCGCACAAATTAATTACATTTTTCAAAATCAAATAAGAAACGTCTAAAATGAAAGACGATTACGTGCACGACCGAACTATTACCACAATATTGTATAATACGAGAAGCATATTATTTCAAAAAAAAAATGTAAAATGTAAAAAGTAATCGCAAAGTTGGTTTAAAATTTTTTATGAAAATACACATTTACATTGAAACGTTATCCTATATTGAAATTTCAATGCATGATGCGTTTAATATAATTATTGTTACATTTCGTCAATGCGAATAATGAATAAAAAATATAAATTCAGTATACTATACATGTAAATGTATATACATAAACATAATATATGTGTGTATATATATATATATGTATATGTTATGTATAAACATATATTATAATTTAAGTGTTTAATATATCATATTTTTTTTTTTTATCACAGCTATGTTATTTAAATTTCTTTAATATATATATTATTATAGGTAGTTTTGTTTCAAAGTTGTTTTGCTTTATGTATTTTTTCATAAAAGGAAACAATCATAAGATATTTTTAACCTTATGTATATAAAAAAAACTAACGATAAACATAATAATTTGGACAACTTAATTAAGTTACGATAGTAGGACGGGGGGATGTTTTTATCTATCACTGGTATTTTTTATAGGCCTAACAATATTACAATTTTTTTTTGTTGTTGTGCCGATACCATCCAGTGTTCACACTCGTTGCCGTTCTTGGTGTGGATCGATAATAGACAAATGACTTAAATGCTGAAAATCATATTTTTGTATGTTATTACATACAAATACTGTCGACTAAGTCCTTAATTAGTTAAGGAATTATTTAAAACATTAGAGTAGCGAGTCGTTAATATTTCCCGCTTACCAATTTACCGCAGGCTTTGCCCAAGTAATTATTTAGTTTTTTTTAATATATACGAGGCGAAAAAGGAAAAAGGAGCTCTTGTTGCGAGAATCCAAATCGCAGGAGAGGCCAAAACATCGATCAGAAATGAACATATAATAAAAAATTATGTTAAGGGCACTTTGTTTTAATTTTTGGTTAAGTTTCATTCCTTTTAGGTATGTATAATCAAGAAGTTAGCAACATTTCAAAACTTTAGATCCCTTTTCCCTATTCGCCTTACAAATAGATGAGTCAAACTCTTTTAATTGCTAAGTTTTAACTTAAACTTGCATCATTTTTGTCATGAACCCTCGTACAACAAACAAAAATATTGCAATACTTATTATTATTTTTAATTTATTCTTACGACCCTCGAACAACACAAATATATTTCCATTATTTTAAATTGCATTTTAACTGTGTTACAGAACTGACACAATAGCTTCTATTGTGGTATGTTTTAATATTTTATTTATTTTTGTATCTGGACCCACAATATCCCCTTAACCGCTGAACTGAACTTCAGAAACCTTCCCTAAAAGATACTTTTCATTGGGCTACAAGGGAATTGAATAATTTTACCATCCACAGTTTTGCATTAAAGTGTTTATATGAATGGGAGTTCCCAAAAACTTATGACCTCTCTGTCTTCACTATGTTTCTAAATTTCATTTAAACATTTTTTTAGTTTTAATTTTTAAAACATTAAGTCAGTCTTTTCAGAAAAGTTAATATGACAAAAAGGGATATTTATTCATTACATTGCCGATATTAATAATTGACCACTAGTTATATTACCCAACACACAACCTAATTATTAATAAATCAAATTTTGACCAACAGAAGACAACAGATAGTTATTTGCATTGTAAGACGCTTTAAACTAGGCCCCTAGGCAACCTGTTGTATGTGTTTAAATATGAAATGTTAAACATGGATTGCCAAAACAGTTGTACATTTTTTTTGTGAATTTTAGAGGTTGAGACTAAGTGTATGTTCGAGGGTTCGCTCTTTTAAGGTCCAACCTGGATTTAAAATTTCTATGTAAATATTTGTTTACTTACTTGCTTATCCACTTTATTTAAGGAAGAGTGATATATCTATTTTTATTCTTGGCCCGATGTGTGTTTATTTGGGTGACTTAGAATGGTTTAACTTTGGTGTTCGCTCTTTTCTAGGCGTTGTTCCCCGGTCGCTATTTATTGCTGCTCTGTGTCCTTTAGAAGGTCGACTTGACGTATGACTCTCTGTAAAAAAAAAAAATAATAATTAAATAAAATGTATGTTTTATTTTACAACCGGGAACAAATAATTAAGTACCTGGTTGAAGATTTGATTGTTTGACTTGAGGAATTGCGACTGGTGCACTTTCTTCTTTTTTGTCTTCTTCAATAATAGTAGTTTGCCCAAATGAATTAGTATTAGAAACTTGACTATCGTTTCTCTCTTTGTGATGTTGTGCTACTTGCGCGTAACTTAGTTTGTGCCCAATATTTGGAGAGCCATTTCCATTAAGAATAGGATTGTTATTTGCCATGTCTGCAGAAAACGTAGCAGGTGGTTGTGGTATAACACAAGCAGCACTTTGTGATGGCGGCGCAGCCTTAATATTCGATACTGTTGTTTTAAAATTAGATGTACCATTGGCTTTGGGCGTAGTTGTCAGCGTTGACGTGTCAGTTTTAGCTGGCATTGCAGTCTTATCTATAGGATTTGTAGTAGAATTTGAAGGCGTAACAATATCCTGAACCTTAAAATAAAAAATAATATACTCTCAAATTGTTATAAAATTAATAATTATCACTATTATTAAGAAAGGAGTTAAAACTTTTTAACTGAATATGTCTTTTGGCCGAGCGTTTATCTGAAATTCGTAATACGCATTTTGTGAAACAATTAATGACATCATCCAATGTTGTCAATGGTCAGAAATGGTTAGATGGATAAAAAGTCATACCACTGTACAGGTAATTTTAAATAAAAATGTTATTTACCTGAGAGTGCGAGTTAACAGAACTAAGAGACATATTAGAAACGTCATCAACAATTACGGGGACCGGCGCTGACCGAACAGAAGCGGGTAACACCGTTTGCGAACCGTTTGTCAGACTTTCTGTATTCACAGCAGAGTCTGTATCTTCAGTCTTGGGTACAGAAGGTTCAGGCGGAACTACTGATATATTTGACGTAGGTACGACAGAATTCCTATAAATAACACATAATTAGAACAAATTAAATGAATGATATTAATTAATATTTAACAAAAATAACTCAAGCCGGAACAAAAAAGAAATTAATATTTACCGGGAATCGAAATGATTGCGAGGAGATAACAAGTCAAGGGGCAGTGAAGTCGGCGATTGGTGTGGTATGGACACAATTTGAGGTGGTAACGGAGGAAATGCGTCAGCCGCCAAATCGAAACTTTGTGAGCCTGTTGGTTGTTGGGGTAGGGTACCTGCAGTTACTTCTGGTCCTACTTCATCTTCCTTCTTCCTTCGTCTATACCTGTTAAAAATAAAAATAAAAATTTATTTTTATCAGGGCTTTGAACCCGAACAGAACATAAGCCGTATAAATAAACTCTAAAAACCAATATCGCCTGGAAATCCTGTAATATTGGAATTAGTTAAGCTAGTTATGTTATTCTTTAGTTATGTATAAAATCCGTATAGATTAGGTCCATATAAATAATTTAAAATACCTGGGTGGTAATGTTGTGGGATCTTTTGGGATATTTATTGATCCGCTTGACTGCCTCTCTACCACATTCGGGGAGTCTTGATTATCAACATAGTTTCTGGTCGCATTGGAAATATGCAATGATCCACTACTGCTTGATGACTTAGTGAGACTTCCATTAGATGTATAGCTACCAGGACGCGAAGGTAAGCCACTATCAGACGCCGAGCTACGATAATATTCACTACCACCGACAGAATTGTGCCGCATTTTCCCACTGCTTCTACCACTGTTTCAAAAACAAATTTTATTAGAAGGCACACAATTGTTATCATGCGGTTAACAAACAAACGTACGGCGCACGAGATAGATTGTATCTTGAATTCTGAGGTTTAGTAAAAGCTCCTTGGGGAGCCAACCCGTTCACAGAAAATATTCCACCAATATCAGTCGCATAATAGGCTCCTGTTGCTGGATGAGGCCAGTGTTGTAACATGTTAGTCGGGTAATAGGGAGACTGCTGTTGCTGCTGTAACTTATTAAAAGGATTTCTATTTATTTTAAACCATAAAAACTAAGAAACAACTGTTTAATGTTAATACACGGCGAAACAATAATTAAGTTATAAAACAAATTTAAAAAAAAAAACAGTCAAATTTAAAATAATTTTGAGTTAACATACATATACTTGTAAATTAGCGGCATAATTGACTGGAGCGTATTGAGGTGGTCCTCCGTTGGTATAATATAACCTAGCAGCCTGAGGATGTTGAGGAGGAGGAGCTGGAGGTCCAGCTGGTGGACCTTGTTCAATGTATGGATTAATAGGTTGAGCTTGCATCGGTGGCGTTCTGAAACCATTGACCGTTTTGATGCCTGGCATTCCAGCAACCGAACCAGGGGATATTGGTGCTGCCATACGGTTCATAGGCTTAGCCTTAATACGTGCCATTATAGGCCGACCCTGTAAAATTTCAATAATAAATTATTTTCAAAGTATTAAATTATATTTTTTTTTTTTTTGTAATAAATTTAAATTTTATTAAACAAGTGATCTTTTCTAAAAATAATAAAAACATTTATTACTAAATCATCCGGCATATAAGACTTTTGTCTCAATTATATCTAATAATTTCATAATAATCAATCAAATCTTTTCTAACGTAACAAATTAGTAATGCGTGTTTCAGTTGGTAGTGCATGTTAAATACAATCACATAAATTCTTGAAAAAGTGATAGAACTCATCATAAACACGATAATTATTATACCACTATCATAATAATATAAGTTAAAAAATATTTTTAAAATTTGATTGGTTTTACTTATATATCTTTTGTCTTATTGTGCATTTTTTTTAACATACATAATTAAAAAATTATTTCAGCTGTAAATGCATGTATAAAACAATTATATTGAATATTTAAACCGAGTAATTTACATCTTATGCAATGGAATAATTGAAGAAGTGTGATAAATAAATAATAATTAAATAAGGTATAAAATTGGCTTAGTTTGCATGTTTCAGTTGGTAGTGCATGTTAAAAACAATCACATAAATTCTTGAAAAGGTGATAAAACTCATCATGAACCAGCTAATGATTTTACAGTTATTATAATCAAATAATTTATAAAAATTGTATAGGTTTAACTAAAAAAAATGTTTTTCCTACATATTCTAAATAAACTATTTCAGTTGGTAGTGCATGTTTAAATCAATCATATTGAATATTGAATCTGTTTTTTTCATCATAAGAAACATTACATATTCCTACAATTGTTAAAAAATAGTACCTAAAACAAAATAATTAAGATGACATTTGCTAGTTACAAGAATTTCAGTTGGTAGTGCATGTTAAAAACAATCATTTAATTCTTGGAAAAGGTGATAAAACTCATCATAAATTAGCTTGTAACTCGGCTTTTGAAACTGTGTAAATTTTCAACTTAAAAAGGAGACATAGAGGCCTAATCAAACTACCATCCAATCTATACCCATACCACAAAGAAAGTGTATTAAGTAAAAAAATTGTATTGGTTCGACTTTAAAAACATTTTTCCACGTATTAAAATAAATTATTTCAGCTGGTAGTGCATGTTTAAATCAATCATATTGAATCTTGAATCTGTATTATTCACATCATAAAAATATAAACCTAATTCTTAAGAAGAAAAAATTAGACACTTAATTTATAAATAAAATTAGCTTAGTTTGTGTGTTTCAGTTGGTAGTGCATGTTAAAAACAATCACAGAAATTCTTGAAAAGGTGATAAAATTCATCATGAACAAACTAGCAATTTTACAGTAATGATAATCAAATTATTTATAAAAATTGTATAGGTTTAACTATAAAAATATTTTTTTTTCTACATATCGTATATAACAAAATTAGCTTAGTTTGTGTTTCAGTTGGTAGTGCATGTTAAAAACAATCACAGAAATTCTTGAAAAGGTGATAGAAAACATCATGAACAAACTAGCATTTTACAGTTATGATAATCAAATGATTTAAAAAAATTGTTTTGGTTTCACTATATGAAGGATTTTTTTTTTTTTAATATATTAAAATAAATTATTTCAGCTGGTAGTGCATGTTTAAATCAATCATATTGAATCTTAAATCTGTGTAATTCACATCATGATATAAACCTTATTCTTTAGAAAAAAAAATTGACTTAATTTATAAACAAAATTAGCTTAGTTTGTGTGTTTCAGTTGGTAGTGCATGTTTAAAACAATCACAGAAATTCTTGAAAAGGTGATAAAAATCATCATGAACAAACTAGCGATTTTATATTAATCATAATAATATGAACAAAAAATATTGTATTGGTTTGACTAAGAACAACTTTTTTTCTACGTTTTGTAAATAATCTATTTCAGCTGGTAGTGCATGTTTAAATCAATCATATTGAATATTGAATCTGTGTTTATTCATCATAAGACATATTCCTACAATTGTTAAAAAAATAGTACATAAAACAAAATAATTAAAGATGAAATTTGCTTAGTTACAAGAATTTCAGTTGGTAGTGCATGTTAAAAACAATCATTTAATTCTTGGAAAAGGTGAGAAAACTCATCATAAATTAGCTTGTAACCACAATAAAACTAACATCTATATCCGCACAACAGAGAAAGTGTAAAGTCACAAAATGTAAATTATCAATCAATTAATAATTAATTTAATCGGACTCATCTATGAGTCAAAATGTCTTATACGAGATAGATCAGTAAATAAAGCGTAAAATTTAAATCTAGATTTCAACCAAAAGCTGGAATGTTGACATTTTTTACTTTATACATTTGTTTTATGGTACAAGGATATACATTTTTAAGCAATAAAATTATTCACATTTGACAAAAGTTTAATGTATTAGCTTAGTTACAAGTGTTTCAGTTGGTAGTGCATGTTATAAACAATCACATAGCATCTTGTAACGGTAACAAATTTCATCATAAACTATCTTGTAACTAAGTAATTTATACCTAATCAACTAGCATTCACGTTTATTGGCGTTTTAATGTTGTAATGACATTTTTTTTTTTTATGTATATATTAATATCTAATAAATAGGGTTCCGGCCTTCTCACATATGCGTATTATTTTTTAATAATGGTTGTAAAATGTTCCAATTATAAATATATTATAATTATAATTGATAATAAAATATTATCAATTTCATAATACGTATTAAAAAATATATAAATATGAATTACACAAAATTCAATGTACGACTAACCTGAAATTCTTTAACCTCTTCTCGGAGATACAAAAATGCTTTTTGTGCATCTTCATCGTTTTCAAAAGTAATGTACCAAGAATTGTTGTGAGCAAACTCGCATGAAATCATTTTAGGGCACGATTCGCCAGCAAATAATCCCTGAAAATTGAAATGTAATTAAGAATAGATTCTGTATTTTACAATTACTTGTAATATATTTTTTTCTTTATAAATAAATTATCATTTAGACAATTTGATATAACAGATATATATATCACTAAAATATAGGCATAATAAATAAACATCAATATACCTTAATTTCTTCAATTGGTGTAGTTTGAGGAATTTCACGTAGAATAACAATACAACGTTTGTGATTTGGACGAACTTTTAATCCTTCATCGTCGACTTGCACGTTCGGAGACTCTAAATGATAGAATAATACATAATTTACCAATGCACAATAAAAATGTTACATCAAGAATTAATAATGTGTACCTCTTAACACGTCAGTAATCAGTTTTATGTCTTTTGTTAACTTCTTAACTTGATTGAAATTAGCAACTGTCCATATTGGCACATATTGATCATTGTCCATTTGAGATAACAAATAAGTATCATTAGCCAAATTTTCTCTAGAAAATAAATAAAACATACAATTTAGAGTTATTGTTACGTCAAACATATTAATTGATTTTGTCAAATACAATTGTATTACTTAGTATTAGTGGTCTTAAAATAATTATTTTACAGTAAATTGTAATAAAATTAATTCAGCACACAGTAAGGGGGGTAAGGGCATTGCAAGAACGAAGATTAATTATTATATCTGAATTTGTTGACGTTGTTATCTAAATATATGTTGTAATTATTAATAAAATGAAAATATTTTTCAGGTGTTGACTGTTGATTCTTTCACTCAAGCAACCTAAAAATGTACAATGGGCATGGCGTAATTTCCCATTTTTATAAAAATCTGTATATTCTACAGTCCCACTTAAAATTTACCTTGATTCTTATTTTCAGAGCCTATTTGAAAAGGTGAAATAAATAAAAAGTTTCAACCCCTTCTAAGGGGAAGGGTTTATGTTTATGATATTTATTTGGTTTCAAATTTTGGAACTAATTTTATTATATTTAAACAAATTATAAAGCTCCATAATTTGAAAAATGTGTACATTTTATGTTATATGTAGATATCGGTTCAGCAGTTTAGAAGATATCTTGGGTCATCATTGTAACAACACCTTCCCAGCTCTGCATCAAAGCTAAAATTAAATAACATTATTTATCATCAAAATAACCCAATTTTTCCCGCAGTAATAATTTCACTACACGATCCCCATCGTGACAACAATTCATAACTACTATTAATATTACGCAATTAGTTTCGATAATTCCCTCGATTGGTTCAAATCATAGGCAACAAATTTGTATGCAAAATATAGCTAGATTTCAAAATTAATAGTAACTAGTTTATACTAACCAAATAGTCTCAATAGTGTCGCCATTTTATATTTAACGAAAATTTAATTAATTTTTGTTTTTTTAATTATTCAAATTAATACAATTGTCAATCACTTATTAGCTATGAAAGTTATAAAGAAACTACTACCATAAACATTTGTAAGACGATTGAGTAATTAATTTAGCAACGATTCGACACCATAATGAACTAGTATGAAGATCATTAGGTTCTAATAACGTGCAAAGTAGATACCAAAAAAATAAAAGTTAAAGCCACTTTACTGTAATTTAATTTTTTAATTTTTTTATTAGTACAATTGTCAATCACTTACTAGCTATAAAGTTATAAAGAAACTACTACCATAAACATTGGTAAGACAATTGAGTAATTAATTTAACAACGATTCGACACCGAAATAAACTAGTATGAAGACCATTAGGTTCTAATAACGTGCAAGTAGATACCAAAAAAAAAAAAGTTAAAGCCACTTTACTGTAATTACCATAGGACTGAAGTGATAACAATAACTAAGAATATAAAACACAGTGAAAACAACATATATGATTACATTAACACGTTCACTACGGATGATGCTAATTTAAATTAAAATTAAAATGTAAATTGGCATCATCCGCAATGAATGGGTTAAGTGGCTTTTACTTTTACCCAATTAAAACCAATAGTTATCAGTGATTTCTATGTTTTACCAATCAATTATTGCTCCCTTCCTCCAACACTTAGTTTTAGTAAGACTCAAACCAAATTGTGCAAATTAATTTAATTTAAGGTAGAACACAAACAAGATAATACACAATTAGTTGTTAACAAATTTAATCAGTATAGCTGTTTAAGGAATTTGTTCTTATTAAGCATAAATTAGATATTATGACAGTTTTAATAAAGGTTACCTTGAAAAGTAATATTCTAACTGATTTGAAAGAAGTTGTTTAAGATGCTCCACCGACTGGGAAGGCATCGTTTCAGTAGAAGTCTCAGCATTTACCATTGTGCTATTGTTATCAGCTACAACTGTTGAACCACTTCTACTTTCCGTCGCCGGCACTTCATAACTTCCATTTAAGGAGCTGAAAAAATAAAAGAAACTTTTAAAATGTATAGAAAATAAATACACTAGTATAAATTGACCCAACTATAATATAAAAAATATTTACATGGTATTGATTGTGACACAATTTTAGTTAATTATTAATTACTATGTCAAAAATTGCAATTATAAAAAGTTTTAAAATTATTTTTACAATGCCATTGAAAACGTAAATTAAAAATTTACTAAATTCTTAATTTTATACATAGATTTAGATTTTAGTTGAATATTTGTACGTAAAATAAAGCTTCAACTAAAAATTCACCAAACAGTTGATTCATTTTTCATCTTAAACATAAGAATTGAAGTAACAAGAACTGTCAGTCACTTACAAGTTATGATAGTTATAAAGAAAACTATTATCATAAATATTTGCAAGATGATTAAGTAATTTAGCAACGATTCGACACCATAAAGAACAGTACAAAGATCATTAGGTTCTAATAACGTGCAAGGTAATACAATTAAATTGATAACGATAGTCAAGTCATGTTAAGAGGAAATGTTACAAACTCATTTATTAAGCAGTTATTTAGTGTATACAATTAATACAATAGGTACTATTATATATGTATTATTAATACAGTAAAGAGCATTTTTTATTAGTCACTAGTTTTTAATAATTTAAATTTTTTTTTGGTTTTGAGGATAAAAGATTAAACTTTTTGTACTATTGACCCACCAAACTAACATCTGAATAATATTTCAAATCTATGGAAGTGCTACACAAGTAATTCGGTCTACGGGAAAAATGTATTCTTCAGACACAAAAAAAAAATTACATAGGTACTATAGTTTTAAGAATTAGACAGTATTTTTCCCCCTATTATAATTTGTTAATAATGTTTATAAAAATTAAAAACTGTATAAAATAAAAATATAATGACCATAATTACCTGTAAGAAGTGTTTGTGGCAGTCGAAACGGTGAGTGGTTCAGGAGGACTGTATAGCGCCCCAGAAGAAATTTTTCCTACGTCCCCATTCATGTACATATACCCTAAAACACAAAATTAGTAAATAATTAGCAACACATTAGACACGAGGAATAGATGGATATACATTTGTAAGTAGATGTTAATGAGTTGTTAAAACTACAAAAATACCAGCAAAACAATTTTTTTTTCCTTATAGTCCGATATCGTTATTTTTATCATAACAAAAGAATTAATAGTAGGTTCGTTTTTAACAAACACCAAGTGCTCGAATAACATGTTTAATTTTAAATATTACCTTTCATTTATATTGATAATTATATTATACTGTGAAATGCTTAATAAAAATAACAGATTAACATTATGTTGAAAACAAAGTAATATACAGTGTGTAATTTACCTAATGGTTGTTAGGAATTTGTTTCTTTACTTTTCAAAAACAATTTAAACAACAAATAAGGCAATTAGTAAAGTAGATAAAAAAAAAACGAGTAGAATCATTGTATTATTTTTTCCAAAAGTAATAGCAACACAAAAAAAAAATCAAAATGTTTTTTAAATATAAAAACTACAAAACCACTAAAAGAGATTGTAGTGGGTAAATTATTATTTTACAACAGTACTTCTTCTGACTAAAAGTCCATTACTATAATAACTAGCAACAGGCAAAAAAATATCTATATAAATGGTCAACGAATGAAGACTTAAATAATTTGATGTATATGTTAATGCTGAACTTTGTAAAAGTTATGTTTATAATAATTCTCTAAGTTTGACAACAAATTTTTGGAAAAAATAAATGTTAACACATTAGATTTACCTTTAGCCTAATTTCTGACCTTAACCCATGACCACTGGCCGGGGGGGTTAAAATTTATCTCAGTCAATCTTAATGTTCAAATAAAAATTTTTATCCGATTATTACTAGCATGTCTATATTATTTAGTACCCTCCGATAATATATCAGACTATAATGAATGTATATTTATATCTTTTTCGTGATTGCATTTGGTTTTATTGTAGTAGCCCTTCTTTCTAGTCGCTTCTAATATACGAGCTACGTGTACACAAGTGTTGTTAGCTCTTATTACTTTTTGTATTTTTTTAAAAGTTTTATACAATAAAAACAAACTTGAGAGAGAACGTTAAGTACAAGCTTTGAATGAAGAAACGGGATGGATTATCAAGTGACAAAAGTAATGAGATTGCTCATGATGACAACGCGAAATAAATCATCCGTCCCATTATTACACCCATCCGATTGTTGTTTTTTCTTTAACGAAAGAAATCTCATACTTTTTATAAAGTACTCAGACCGTATTTTGGAAAGTTATAATGTGCTTTATAACAGTTTTAAACTTCTCCACTTTAGATCTTATAAAGTACCTTGACTGTAAGATTTCTATGAAAAAATTGCTACAATTGTTGAAAATTGAAAAGAAACACCATTGTAAATACCTTCTCAGCTCTGCACCGCAAGACTCAAAGGTTAAACATAACACGACATTTCACATTAAATATTAATTTAAATACAAAATTAAGATAGTAGGTATCACAAAATGTATGATTGAAATATAGTTTCAAATGTCAATTTTTTTTTTACAAAACATATAAATAACTTTGCACAATATTTACTGGCATGTGACTATTCGGTTTTATAAGATGTTACTTTAATAAAAGTTGTAGTACTCGACAAAAAAGCATGGCTCAAGGATTTGTATCGTATCGAAGCAAGGTTTTAGTTTAAATTTTTCGACAAAAGTACAACGTAATTTACAAATATAAGGAGTGAAGTTGAATTAGGTTTGATAATATATTATACAACAACAATACTAACAAATGTGCAGAATAATACTAGCAGATGTTCTTTTCAATAAAATAGCGTACAATATCGAAACAACTATACCAAAAATGTGTATAGGCTATGTTTCTGCATTAGCTGAAGAGAAATATGGTAAATTACTAATATCAGTTTCATATTTGTAAAATTTAGGCCTATTCCGAGTTAAAAATTAACCTATTTTATAAATGCAAAGTTTTAAATGATTCTTAAAACCTACATTCGTATTTAAAACCAACAAATTCATTGAATAATTGTAAAAAAATAATTATGTTGTAGTTGCTTTATGTAGTTTTAGATTTTCATCGTCTTTTGCTTTTTTGGCAAATTTATATTGTAATAACTGATGGATTCTTAACGTTAATAATTTTTGGACTCTTATCACTTATATTATTAATAGTAACACATTTTTAGCCTTCACAATTAATATATTAGGTAATAAATTAAAACTGTTCTCACAATAACAAACTTATTGAATTGGGGTAAACACAAATGAAAAATGAAAAACAAAAAAAGAAATATTTTTATCAATTTTTCAGAATCACTGAAGGTCAAATCAAATATGCCATAGGACATAACTTTTTTTTTTCATTTCAAATCTATTTAATTATTTTTTACTTTTTAATTACTTTACATAGATTAGTAATAATCATTAAAATTATAATTAACTTTAATAGTAAAATAGTACGAAATGTTGGAAAAATAAATTTTCCTCTTTTTATCAATTTGTATTTTAAATGTTCATTACTTAAAAAGTTATGTTCTTAAAATAACAACTAAATGTTACGTTACTTAGTTTGCTAAACTGCTTAACTTGAATGAAGATCGACAGCGGCATTGCATATTTTACTTTATTTAAGTGTCATCTAGGAGCACTCGTTAAACGATATCGAAGATACTTCATTGGTACATGTGGAGACCATATTTTATGATTAATTTACGCTACCCAGGTACCGAGATCTAACAGTAAGCATATTTTTCCTACCCATCGTCAGTAATTGCTGTCAAATGAAAAGATACTCGTCGGAGAAACGTATTAGTATGCGATAAAAACACCTTTGAAACGATATTTTACAAGTAAGAAGACGAAAGAACAAACAAGGGCGTGGACTAGATACAAGTCCTCTAGTGCAAGTCAAACAACGATGAATTCGATCAGAACGACCGAGAGATAGTCAAGCGACAATGTTGTCCGGCGAAAGTGGCGATTAGCGTTAGCCGACACCTGGGGATGGGCATTTTGAAAAAGTCTCAACGACAACAGCTAATGTAAATGCACCAACCTTTGAGTACTCGGGAAAAACGGTACTCGCGAAAACCGTGTTCTAAACAACAACAGCACAATAATTCAACATAATATTATTAACACACTAGACACAAACACATGAACGACCATCACGTTGGTCGGGCGACAAAACCGTGTAATATGTAAAATGTTCATTAACGAAACGCGATTAAAACGTCCCGTGCCGCACACACACACAGACAGACACACACACACACACGCGCACGGACACACTCACATATTTTTGTAGGTTATCAGCGAGTATGACTTCTCGGGTTAACCTATACCGAACGCCTATCATGTTCCTATTGAATTTCAATGGCGACCGATATGCCGTGCGAGGTTCGTGCGCGGCCGACACCGGGACACACGACATACACCACAGACAAATATAGGTACGACGTTCTGGTGCTTACCTGTTTCTGCCTCCTTGCGTAGGAACATTTAAAAAAAAACGATCGGAATACGCGTTTGCTATTTTTTCTATCGTCGTCGACGGGACCCGTTCAACAGCGGCGAAGCGCGACGCACATATTTGATTTTATTTATTATCTAGCACACGTCGTCCGATACCGCGGTGGTGGATGATTTCGACGAGTTGTACCTGACGCAAAACGATTATTCCACCGAAAAAAACCATGTGCACACACGCCAATTTACACACTCGGTTAGCCTTATATGACTAGGCGGCGCGCACACACGCAGACACTTACACATACACACACGCACACACACACACACACACACAGACAGACGTAAGTTACACAGCAAGTCGGCGGTCAGACGGGAAATTTATTTAATTTTTCAGCTGCTGCTGCTGCTACTTACACGACTGCGCGGCTATAGTAGTCAACGTGCCCGGTCGCCCCGAACTTGCCACGGCCGATCCGAAAACGCGGTACACGCAAAACGGTAAAAAATCGGTGTCGCCCGGACGCGGTGACGGGGAATGTCGGGGAAAAAAATCCGAACAGAGTGTATAGGTGTATGTGTATATATATATAGATACAGATAAAATAACAATAAATAATAATAATAGTAGTAATAATAATAAAAAAATAAACCAACCGAACGGCCAACGTATATTATTTAGTGGGATATCATTCGTGTGTTTCCATTAAAAAAGCCTTGCAAAATGGACGACAACACGAACACATGCCACAGAGCACGGTGGCCATGGAAGAGAAAATCCCGTCGGCGCGACCGCCGCGACATCTGCCCTTCGCCGAGCCGCCGACGGCCGTTCCCGCTTTTTGCGTCCGTGGTGCACACGGGCCGCAACGCTCGTGTGTGTGTGTGTGTTTACATTTTACATTTCGTTACGGTTTTTGCACTCTGGCTGGCCCGTTACCCGTCGCTATCACACGCCGCGACCATATCGATTTCCAATTTCACACAACCAGTGGCGTACCTATCCAGGAATAATATGTTTCGGCCAACGGTGATAAGACCACATTATGTGTGGCTCCACTGAAACACGCCACTGGCCACAAGGTTGAAGTTCAAAATATGTAGTTCTCTTTTCAACATAGATAACAGAAAAACCATGAAATTGTGATAAGGCTTTTAGACTATAAATCGAGTAAATACTTTTATTCGTACCGTTTAGTTTTGTGGCTTAATACAGAAACAATAAAGACAATGTAAACTAGTAGAATAACAACTGGTACAATTATTCCATAGACATATTTTTACTTTGGCCATAAAATATTTCCAAAAATAAATCACCCTCTACCCCCCCTCCCCCCGACAGTTTTACCTGGATACGTTCAGGCTGGGTTTAGGTATGCTACAATAACAATTTAAAACATAACAGTAATAATGATAATATTATGTGCGTTGCATGCAAGATAATCAGATATTAGCTGTAGTGAACCGATATTTTGTAGGTTGTTATAAAAAATGTAATAACGTTCACTTTGAAAGAGATCCAATATTGTGCTTAACACTATATTATATTATATAGATATTTTCTTTGTAGGACTTAAGACTAAAATATTAATTTTCCCAAATCCAACAAACGAGATGATCAAATAATACATAATATTATTATGTGTCCAATTTTTATGGATTTAAATGTCTTTTTACCCGGGTTGGCCTTTATAGAGCTGTTATCCTCTTCCGGTTCACCAGCCGAACAATTGTTCTTGTCCGTCGCCGATTTATACTTGAATTCGTGTGCTTCCGGATTTAAAGTACCTCCAGGATTGCTGGGAACAGTTAACACCTGGAATCATAACCAAAAAATATTAGTAACAAAATAAAACATTTTAGTGCAATATAATAGGTAAAAATGTAATGAAATCCTAATGTAACTAATTCGTTATGGGTTGTATATTGTACACCGCGTGTACTCAAGTATAAAATTTAATTTTTTTATTTAATTCTCTTGAAACGTTTACCTGAATGTACTTTTAAGTTATTTGTTTTTCGGCGGACGATTATAATAGTATAACATATAATAATAATTGTTTACAATCTAACCTAATATTACGGCGAGGAGACTGTAAACGATGAAAGTCCAGTGCATCAGTTCTACCAAAAACTATGGAGGGAGAGAGAAAGAGAGGGAGGAGGAGGAGTCAATTTCCTCCAACTTACATGTGATCATTATCAAGCGAAATTACTGCCTATAAAAAGTGTAACTAAACTATATGTAATTATTATATATATATATTAACTGTTGGGTTAGTATTTAGTATTGCTAACAATACCAGCAAACCGGTTCCAATAAAAACTAAATGTTTTTTTTTAAATAAAACTGTACAACATGAGCAACGCTTCATCGAGTGCACGAATAGTAATTATTGATTTAAGTTTTAACGATTGTATACTTGAATAAAAAGTTATCATTATGACTGCTGATAACAGTCAATAATATAATAGGTGGACGCCAATTCAACAAGGTAAGTACTACACAACAGTTTTATGGCCAAAGGTGACTTTAAGTAGTACAGAAAAAATATGCTATTACTGTTTCCAATGCTCTCTCGTACTTTGCGTTCTTTCGAAATATGTATGTTAATTATTATTTTACACCAATTAGTATAGATAAGACAAAATATATTATACTAGTATTTATAAAAATATGATTTACTTAATAATTAGTATCCCTTAATGACAAAGTATCTAACCAATAATTATAAATCCCACATAAAAATAATTGAATTTAATGTTAAGAAAGTTTAATAATTTATCAAAACCATAATCAATAAATCTCTAGCTTAAAAACTTAAGAACTTTGAGCAGCACTGACTTCAACTTGTTTTTTTTTTTACTTTATATTAACACAGCCACTTTTACCAACAGCAAATGGGCAATGATATTTTTAAAAAAATACTCATAAATGCTTATAATATAAATATTTTATAAACTACAGTTTTTTATTCAAGTATCTAATATACTTCCTTTATTTCTAATACAATTATTTGATTGTAACAAAATTAATTTGACAATATTTAACCAAACATTAGTAATTTAATTATTTAGTTATTGATAAAATGTTTTCCAAAAAGGTCAAAGAAATATTATTTATTTTAGTCTCTATTAAATCCACTATACAGGGTGATCCATTTAACGTCTGACACTAATTTTCTTTGAAGTTGTAAGTATATTTTATTTCATTTTAAAACGAAAAACAGTTAAATTGACTCGTGTCTTATAGGCCACTCAGTATAGGTAAATAATTATCAATAACACTCTTATCGGCACCTATTTAAAGGGAATATTACTTTAACAACAATTACTTGTGCGACTCGAGGTAACAATGAATTAAAATTTATATGGAACTGTTAACGACGAAATATAAAATGCAATAACGGTTTTCCTCGTTTTATTTTTATGTCCCCATATCCACAAGTCCTAAAAACACACTTGCACTTAACTTACATATCCTTATCTGCCCATTAGACTATAGTGATATTATTGTTATATTAAGTACACGTCGGGCAAACGCACAAAAAACATGGAGTGTTTATGAATTGGAACATTCTAACGAGTAATGGCAAAAATACAACAATAAAATATACATCATTTTTATCGAACGATCTCAAGGCTTTATATTGGTTGTATAATAATTTTTGTATTTTTTTTTTCTCTCAAAGTTTCAAACAAACTATATTTAAATAAAAAACAACTGCGGACTGCCTGTTTCATAATAATAATAATAATAAATATGTGAAAAATATATGTAAATTGTAAATCAACAATTGTAATGTGCACATGCAGTTGTGTTTGCAAGCTTCTCATACCAATCGGTTTGCTGTGTGTCCTATCACAGCTGCTGCTGTGATAAGTCTCTGACAATATGAACGTTATATTATAAAAACGAACATGATAAATAATACTATGATGGAGATGATTTGTGTCAAAAAAAAGAGCAAAATATTGTTACTATATAATATATAAACGTACCTACAGTGACGGCACACTATCTCGTCTATTAACTAATGATTATAATTATTATTATTGTTGTCGAAACCTGTTTGAACAATGTGCATGGATGTGCCTTGAAATAATGTGTTTTCGTACGAGTTCACTGTATTAACCTACTGCTCGTTTTCCCGTTTATTGTACAGTGTGTGTGTGTGTGTGTGTGTATGCACATTAATTCCGTCCAGGGTTAAGGACAAAATTCGATTGCCACACACACCGTTGTTGATGATAATAGTATTGTTAGTATTGCCATAGGGCATAGTTATGGTTGGCTTAATGTGATTTCCCGTCAGAAAAAAAAATCCGTGATGTTTCATATTTTGAGCTAAAACTAAAATTGTAGATGCATGATGTTTTTGGGCTTTGCTAGGCCAATGTGCAGTAGTAAACCGAGTAAAAAAAGTAGATAACATTATGCAAATCTAGTCAAATGAGTAATATTGGCACTTTAATGCTAGAGCTAGGCTGTGAAATTTATTGTCACGTTTTTTTTTTAAACACAAATTTACCACCCAATGGATTTGTTCAATGACCGACCGACCTTTTTCTCCTTATCGATACCAGTTTTGCCGTTCTATCCCAACATTAAAATTATTAGGTAAGGCGATATTTATAATATACACAAAGGTATGGTAAAAATGTCCTAAACGCCTCAAGGAATTACATAATATTACATGAAAACGAGAATACTCATTGTATTTTATAATCCCACGCAGCAGTGCATTGTTGTTCAGGGTCGAAACAGAACTTCCGTTTTAATTATACAACTAACTTTTAAAATAATATAAAAGTTTTCTACCAAAACTTGTACTGTGTAGTTAAAAAAGTTTCAACTGAAAATATTTGATCACTGATTTCGTGTAGGTTTTTTGCAGCTGTGAAACCGCCAAGAGGTGATTTTCTAATAATTAAAATTGAAATTTTCCAGGTTATTAATAGTCTTGAATATCACAAAAGCACCGACAACCGCTCTTAATATCTTATCGCATTCATAACGCTTAGGTACACATTATAAAGAGTAACTGGATCGTTTAGGTTGCCCGAGACCACTAAAACCATATTTGATAAAATTAGAAGTTAATTTTAAATTGTATATTATTATTGTAAGAGTAAATAATATGGTAAGTGTAGGTATACAGTTTGTTGTCAAAGTCGAAGAAAATTATCGACACAGAAAGTATATTTTGGGATGACAATAAAAAATGAATGTAAAAAAAACTTGTAAATTGAAATCTATTAGCTAAAAAAAAATATTCTCAGATCAGAAAAATGTTGTTTCTTAAAGAATCGATTGTTGATCAACTAATTTTTAGATTAATTAATGCTTATTATTTTCGGTCATAATAATTTGTTACACTTAAAAAAATGAACATGTCCAAACCACCTCAATCTCTTTTACCTCTTGTTGCCATTTTTTCGAATAAAAACAATTTCCTCCTTTTCAAGGAGAAACATATGAATCATTAATATATTGTTAAAAAGCTTGTTAAAAATATTGTTCTGGAGTATAAGTACTGCTCTGTCTACACGTGTAGCTATGACGACATAGCATCTGACTCGCAGAGTCAATATTTCAGTTTTCCTTTCCAGTATAAATGTTAATAAAAAATCAAAAAAATCAGAATGGT